GACATCGAAAATGTAATTTGCTCCTGAAATCCCCTTCTAGATTTCAAAAGTGGGGTGCACTCAGGAAAATCTTTGAAGCCAGTGCACAGGCTACACTTGCACTAGGAAGTTTAGTGCACTGGAATGGTGAAATACAGGGAACACAGAAGCACAGCTAATTATGCTCAAACATGTATCACCTGCTCCCTGTCAAGCACACACAGAAGTAGTGAAGGCAACAGCACAGAAGAGCTGAGTAAACTCCAGGTGTTCATTTTCTCATAAAAATTTCTAACCCCAGAATGATGTCATAGGTGAAAAAGATGAGCTATCTTTGATCAAACAGAATCACAGAATATGCTGAGTTGGAAGGGACTCACAAGGATCATTGAGTCCAACCCTTAGCCCTGTACAGGACCATCCCCAAGAGTCACACTGTGTACCTGGAAATATTGTCCAAATGCTTCTTGAACTCTGTCATGCTTGGTGTTGTGACCACTTCCCTGGGGAGCCTGTTCCAGCACCCAACCATTCTCTGAGTGAAGAACCTTTTTCTAATATCCGACCTAAAACCTCACCTGACAATTTCAGGCCATTCCCTTGGGTCCTGTCACTGGTCAACACAGAGAAGAAATCAGTGTCTATTCCTCCTCTTCCCCTCATGAGGAAGCTGTAGACTGCAATGAGGTCTCCCCTCAGTCTCCTCTTCTCCAGGATGAACAGACCAAGTGACCTTAACTGCCCCTCATACAGCTTCCCCTCAAGGCCCTTCACCATCTTTGTTGCCCTCCTTTGGACTCTCTTTAGGAGCTTGATGTCTATTTTATATCGTGGAGACCAAAACTGCCACAATAGTCAAGGTGAGGCTGCACTAGTGCAGAGTAGGATGGCTCAAACACATCCCTGGAAACATTCAAGACCAGGATGGACAGGGCTCTGAGCCACCAGATCTAGCTGCGGATGTCCCTGCTCATTGCAGGAGGGGTGGACTAGATGACCTTGAATGCCCCTTCTAACCCAAACTGTTCTAAGATTCTATGATAAGAAAGTCATTGGAGATGGTCAAAGAAAATAGTGGTGATGTATTTGTGGCCACTGAACAGTTTGCTTGTTGATATGTGGAGTATCAGACAGGACAATTGACTTTCGTATTCTTTGCCTGCCCTCTGGTGGTGAATGGCTGCTGAATAATTGTATGCATATGTATCTATATATACACATATATATATATGTACATATGTATGTAGGTATATATGCAATGACTTATACAGCATAAAGTGCTTACTTCTGAACTGTACCTTGAATTTGAATGTTACAGATGGGAGCAATAGTTAATTATTGTCATTGGCTGTAGCTGGATTTTTTAAGGCTGAAGATTTTCCTGAGTTTGTTTTAAAATTTAGCTCAGTTGCCATATTTCAGAATGAGAATAATAGAAGTATAGTGAAATAATTGTTCCATCTTGAGAGACCAGTGAGGTCTTCTTGTGTCCTTTTCTTCTCTGTGAATAAACTCTGCTGAATTTGAGTGAGCTGTACAAAATCAAGGGCAACATGTTTTTCCACAATCAGTTCCTATAAAGAATATGGGAAGCATAAAGATAACTGCTGCAGCATGGACATACCTTTCCCTACATAATGCCAGTCTAGGATAGTGGGAGGGTACAGAGAGAAATAACTTTGGCGTCTTACTTGGATAATAACCTGCAGTTATTCCCTCTGGTTCTTTCTATGGTGTTTGAGGAGCTAAGAGTTACAGACTTGGCAACACAGGCAATCACCTCCACAGGGAGCCCACACAAGTAGGTTAAACAAAAGTTTTATTTCAACACAGTGTTCTTGGTACACGGTGCCAAGATTTCACAGACAGCTCAAAACAAGGATTGGCAAAGAATGTTGTGCTCCTGTGATGCTTTTTTACTGCAAACAGCCCTGAGTCACAAAATGCATGTTCTGAGCCAAGTCTGACCTTGCTTTAAAATCAGAATTGTTCAGATTAATAGTTTTTAGCTTTTTCTGTTAAAGCAATAATGTACTAAAGCAGAGCTCACATGCAGTGAAATGTAAGCAATTTTTTATAGCACTAGACTATCAGTGCGTGATTTAACACCTCTGGTACAACAACAGAAGAAATATTTGATAAGCCACAGTTATTAAAGCAGTTAATTACAGTACATCTGCCATCAGATATTATTCTGTGATGTTCGGACAGTGTATTTTTTCTGGTGAGAAAAGACCTCAAGGCTGGAGCTTTAGCTGTACTGAGTCTGTTTGCTGCCTCCTCTTCCTGCCCACATTTTTCTGGCGAGTGTGGAGAAAGGTCAGTTGGTTTCCTGCAGGATTTCAATATTTTGAAATACTATTTCAGTTCCAGTGTTTGAATGAAAAAATAAATAAAGGAGGAAATTGTATGTGGAGATTGGAGCTGAGACATCTGCCTCCAGGGTTGCTTTGAAATCGGTGACTGGAATAGCCCAGCAGATGGGCAGCTGAGGTGTCTGGGAAACAAACTGTCCACGAGCCAGACCATTTTCCACTTGAAAACTGCAGAACATTTGCAACTTGGCAAATTTTAACAACAATAGAAAAAACAGGCTTCAGCACTTAATAAATGCCTTCTGTTCAAGACCAACTGGAATTTCATGCATTGTATTGTGGTTTCCATTTGGGCATCAGGCCTATTTGGATATAACATATTTCAGCATGGGCCCTTGGACCTGAATTGATTTTTCCTGTGCTTCTCTGCATATGTTAATGAACATGTTTCAGACATCTAGATTTGTGAAAATGAGTGTATTTATTTCAGCATCTGTTAGTTTTTTAACCGTGCCTGATGTCTGTGCTATCAAGTCTGGCTCCTGGACAGTCCCAAGGTGAGAACAGATCATGGCAAAAGGGGAATTTAATTTCTTTGAATAAAATAATCATAATGTGTCAGTGAAAACAGGCAATAAAAGAGAACCAGCTGATAAAATTTTTCTTCATTTTCAAGTGATTCTAAACAGGTCCTGTTCAGAAAAGGAGACTGCATTGCACCAAGCAATGATAGAGTGAAGCAGATCAGGACTGATGTGGAGTCAGGAAACTAAGAAGAGAATTGCATGATCAGGATGCATTGTGCAAGAACTTTTGTGGGTGGTCCTCACAGTCCCTCCACTGGGTCCTGTGCTTTTTAACAGAATTTAGGGATGCTCAGGGAAGGAAGGAGAAACATGGGATGCTAACATCTGCAAATAGCATGAAGTCAGGCTTAGGAAGGATTATGAAAAACTCTAATGAATGAGGAAAAAGATTGGTGAATGAAATTTAATACAAACAGCTGTAAAGTAACGAGCATCAGAGGAAAAGCATCAGATGTTTCTTACAGTGCAGAAAACATGGACCTGGTTTCATCAGTTCAGGGAACTCTCTCCTGTGGTCATTACAAGAAGACTGGAGGAATATCCGGGTATGGGATGAATACAGAAAAGCTTCCCCTGCTCACTTGTTTCAGCAGTTGCTGGCCTAGGAGCACTGTGTGTTGCTGCTCACCCAGCAGCTGCAGGAGGCTGGAGGAGAGGATTGTAAATGCCCAGGGTCTGGAAATGATCCTTAATGCAATGGCTCTCAGTGCATTTTGGGAGATCTGCTTCAACTCTGTGTGCTAATACAACCTCCCTGTACATCAAGCTCTCTGTATTCTACAGCAATCCTATAGCTCTTCTTCAGGCTGAGTTTTATCTGTAAGAGCTTTATCTAACACCATAATTTCACAAAGCTTTAGTTTGTGTGTGAAGAGCTGCAGTTTCTCTGCCTTCTCCCATGTATTCTTCTATTTTGATAATTTTCTACAACTACCTAAAAGATGGTGGGCGTCAGTCTCTTCTCCCAGATAAAAAAAAAAATAGGACAAGAGGAAACAGCCTCAAGTTGTACAAGGGGAGGTTTGGATAGACTGAGTATTAGGAAAAATTTCTTCATTGAAAGGATTGTCAAGTATTGGAACAGGGAAGTGGTGGAGTCACCATTCCTGGAGGTGTTTAAAAGACATGCAGGTGTGGCACCTGGAGACGTGGCTTCGTGGTGGACTTGGCAGAGCTGAGTTAATGGTAGGACTTGATGACCTCAGAGTCTCTTCCAACCTAAACAATTCTACGATATAATTCCTTTTTATGATTCAAACCATTATTTTAAACACAGATGAGGCTAGCGAGTGCCACAGTAGGGCTTTCGGGTATGCCTGAAGGGGAAAGAAAGGATATGTGGCTACACCAGGAGGTAATCCTTAGCCCACCTTCACCAGTGATACATCCAGCTGATGACCACTGTGTGGGAGTCTGTAGGTGAAGGGGGTTAAGAATCTGCCTGTGCATAGGCCCTTGCCATACTATGCCCTTTTCACGGATAGAAAGCAGCAGGTTGATGTGATGTTTCCCACGCATTTATTTGACGGATTCTTTGCTGGCGTGAGGACAGGATTATAGAATTATCCTGAGATTACTTACCTTCAGTTCTACTCCTGCCTTCACTCGGCTGTAGTTCCATAACCCAGAGAAACATCTTCATATTTTCTAACAAGAAATGTGCTGTGGGGAGTGGTATTGCCCCCTCCTTACATTAATATCTGCTGTCATAGGAAATTTTCCCAGACATCAGCCCTTGCAGCTGTTTAGACACCCATCCACATTGTGGCTCCTCCATGTCTTCCTAGGGTTCTTCTGCATCTCCTACCTTCTTTCCCTGACTGACCTGCCTCTTAATTACTGTATAATCAAGCAAATATGTGAACAGGGGGCTCCACAGGTGCCTCATCTGCACAGAGAGCTGAAAAGTAAGCTAAGAAGTCAGCTGAAGGTAAATATAAAAACTAGAATGAGATTTTCAGGTGGAGGGGTAGGTCTTCAAGGATCTTGTTGTCATGTTATAAATTGACTGCTGAAAATATTGTATGAAACATGAACTATATTCAAACAGTGTTTATTGCATATAAATACATCTTCTACAGTTCTCAGTGGGTTTGCACAACTGTGTTAAAATTCACTCTATAACATCAGTGGTAAAACCTCCAGCAATCATGTGGTAGATTCTTGTTGATAGTGGTTTCTACAGTGTGCACTTCACTACCCAAGAATCCACCAAATGCCTTGTCCACAGTCAGCTGAGAAGTCTGATGTGGAGTTACAAAAATTTACATTTGCTGCTTCCAGCCCACATCTTCCTCATTGCAACATCCAAACACTGGAGCAAACTAGGAGCAAACTAACAAAATTAGAGGCCTATACAGCAATCGTAGTTAGTATGAGAAGAAATCTCATGAGTGAACCTAAATCTATCTAAACAGAATAATGTCAGAAAAATATAAATATGTTTCATGGATTTCTAACAGTAGAGACGGTCACACTCAGGGATGAGTCCTTCGCCTCTTCCTGTTGAAATTAAGAGGAAAAAAAAATACCACTGGCTTCAAAGAGAATTAAGAATTATCCTGGGATTACTAAAGTCATCAGTTAATAGAACTTTGCTTCTCTTCTACCCTTTCCCACAGATTTACTATCTTATTTTCTAAAATAAATTCAAAGAATGTTGTTTATTTTAGAAGACTACAGGCTGAAGAAAAAAAACTGTACAGAAGGATGGATTGAAATCCTCTTGTTTCAGTCATCTTCAGATGGAACATTCAGGTTGGTTTACCCGCTGTGCTATGTAGCAGGACAGCACCTGAAAATGTTTTGTACGTGGGAAAATAATGGAAAAGACATGAATTATGGAGAAATTGTTTGATTTTAAACTCAAAATTTGTACAAACCAACCCAGATAATGTACCCCCCTGGAACTGTATACTGAGGTATATTGTGTCAGGATTCCCTGCCCACGTCTCTTCCACAGGGCTTTATTTCTGAATGAATTCTTGAACAGAGGGTGAGCAGAGGGCAGAAGGTGAAAGCTTTCCTAACCCTATTTGACAGCTCAAGTGTTGTATGAGCCTTTTAACAGATGTCATTCAAGGGCCAGCTTCTCCCACCTTGAATATCTACTCCCATCACGAAATAAGCAAAAACTTCTTTCATAAAACCATAGAGTGCCACAGAGTAAAATCTCATTATTGAATAATATTAATGCATTTCCCTTCTGATTTTGCTTTTCAGATGTTTATACTCCAAACAGCTCCTGCTTTGACAGTGTACATTTTATACTTGATACAGTAAAGAAAATACTATGTTCCTCAGTTTTGTGATATCTGACTCACCTTGTTCCATAAAGATATTTGCAATATCCAAGGAATGTTTGCCAAGTGGCTGTGGACTCTTATTTATTATCTGAATGGTAAAAATCTGCTTAGGTTGTTCTGATGAGAAGAGTTCAAACTGAGCCTGAGAAAGGTCTCACTGTCCACAATGAGCACCTTCTGGTGGTACTATTCCTTGAATTAACATACCTGCTCTTCTCTTCAGCCTTGAAGAAGAGAGCATAATAATTCTCAGAATTTTATTAGAAGCCAGATGTTGAACAGGAATAAAAAATCCAGAAGAGGCAAACACCAAAATTATTTGACCTTGATGAAGTGTGCTCTGTGAGAAGTGCCTACAGGCCAAATATTGACCCTTTACAGAAAGTTTTTTAACCACTGGGAGGCTTCCTTTATAGACAAATGCCTTAGAGAACACTTGGAGATTGGGAAGGAAAAAGCGTGATTGGTTTTAGGCCTTGCACTGCTTTAGTGGTGTACTCTTTGTTCCATCAGCCCCACTTTTGCAGGAAAAAAGTGTATTTTATTAGTATTACTCAGCTAATGGAACTGCATTTCAGTTTTGCAATATCTTGGCATTCTGTTTTCATCTTGCTTTGGGATAAACGCAGAAGATGTTTTGCAATTGGATCTGGATTTACAAAGATGACATATTTTGACATTTTGAGCAGAATCTCATTTTGGCATTTGAAATAAATATTGATTCATACCAAACCGTTTCAATTCAAAACTGGCATTTCAGTTTGAAAATAGCATTAAATTGGCACTTGCAGCTGAAATGTCAATTTAAAAGAGAATTTTTCAGCTTAAATTGACATACAGGAACAAAACATTTTGCTTCAGAATCTCCACCTGTGGGAGTGTAAAAATATTTTTTCTTGTCCAAAACATTTTTTCTCAATTGCAATTATTTTTATGAAACCAGAGTTTCCTACAACAACAGGAAAACAATTATTTAATGCAAAACAGTTAAATCATTTTAGCACTTGGCATTATTGTTCAAATCCAGGCCCAAGAGCAGCCAGACTTGTTTGTGCTATCACGCAGACTGAGTTAAAATATTTGAGTTCATCCTTGTGACAGTTGCTCAGGAAGAGCATCATCACTGTCATCATTAGCATCATTTTCCTCCCCAATAGACCCCCCTCAAAAAAAAAGCGCACACATACAGCTCTGAGCTGGTGCCCAGTTTCACAAGAGAAGATGGTCAAGATTCATCTGCCTGCTCAGGTTCACCCTCTGCAAGAGCCAAGAGGCTTCATTAATTCTACTGCTTTTGTGTGGTTGGGAACTAAATGGAGAGTGAGCTCTGTTGGATTGGCTTCAAGGTGTCAGTCCTGATCTTACTAATTCTTTGCTGTGCTCTTCTCAAATGTCATCCTCTTCAAAACTTGTATCAGGCTTCTTCACGCTTCCCAGCTCTTTAAAGGTTGCTTTTGTTAGTGTTCTCCTTGTGTCCCTCAGGACAGATTTCAGTTTCCTAGTTAGTACATCTGGCCAGTTGTGGCTGTAAAACAGAAGAGAGGAGAGGAGAGGAGAGGAGAGGAGAGGAGAGGAGAGGACAGGACAGGACAGGACAGGACAGGACAGGACAGGAGAGGAGTTGAACTAAATGGCCTTGAAACATCCCTTCCAACCCAAAACATTCTATGAATCTGTGATTCTATGGTCTTATCTGCTGGTCTATGGTTTGGCCAGCAACATGCAATTATTTGGGTGTTTACTGTATTTCCTGAACAAGAAAGAATCTTGAAGAATCTCCTGTTGCTAAGCTGAGTTCATAGCATGAGAGATCATAATAGAAAGAGAGTCAAAGTCTTGAAGAACCAAAAAAACCAAAACAAAAACCAAAACAAACAAACAAAAAAAAACAAAACAAAAAAAAGGAGAGAAAATAACTCCACCTGTAGGCTTATATATCTAAAGGTCAGCAAAGAGCAGTATAGTTTGTACTAAGATTCATACACATGGTTCCCTCTATAAACATAACAGCTACCCATCACATGGGGAGCGAAATCTCACTCCTTAGAACTCCACAATGAATTCTGAATGACTTGCGTGGACTCTTAAGTCTCATCTCCAAAGAGAGACCAACGCACAGGTCCTAGGGAGTCATTGACCTCTCTTGTGGGACAGTTCTCTGTTGTGTCTTGAATTTAAAGAGAGAAATCCCTTTCTCTTTATCAGAAGTCTTTTAAGATGCTACGGGTGGGATTCCTCTGCTTGAGGATATTATCCAGCAGTGTTTGAGATGCCATGGTTTATCCTACCCGGTCTTCAGCTGCTGTTTCCTCTACAACCTTACACAAGTGTCTTTACAAACATGGTGCTCTGGGCTGAATCCCACTCACATGAATGGGTTGGAAGGTACATGATAAGGTCACAGATCCTACCACAGGACAAAGTATAAGAGTCACCAGTGATATAGCCAAGAGATTTATCTTCTGGTAACTGGAGATGCACTCAGGTATTCCTCATGCTTTGATGAACATTTTTATCAAGATCCATCCAGAACCATCACTTCTCTTTGAAATAAGGTGTCCACCAAAGACAGCAGAGTTCACTGCCACTCATTCAAGGTTAAAGGATTTGATTCTTGAGCATGAGAAGCACAGTTGTGACCTTCCTCTAGATTCCAGGCCAGATGAATACTTCCAAATATAATTACTCCAAGATGGGGATCCCTATCGTATTGCAGCAAGAACCCTGTGGGACTGTCAGCTGTTTATGGTCCCAGACTTATAGGATCATGCACTGAGTGAATACACTATGGATCACTACATCTGAGATCCATGGGAAGTGTTCCTTTATTGTTATCAAGGAAAAACAAGGTTGTTGGTGACATATTCCCTTTCACCGTAACTGTCTAAAATAGATTAGCTGGAAACATCACTGAACCACCAAGTAGGCATGTTGGGGATAAATAGCTGCTGAGGACTTAATTGCCTCAATTGAAAGCTTCATGCACACAAGAAGGATTGAACTAGGACCATTGAAAAGATCCAGGTCTGAGTGCCTTATTGATTTTCCAGCTATTTCCCATGGATTGAGCCAAGTTGGCTACTGAGGACCTTCTCTTCTCCACAGTATGCTACTAATCAGTCTGTGGGTGATATAAGTACTAAACAGTTATGTATCAGTAGATGTGCAGATTTAGTCAAGCAGGGTTAACCCAAGTGAGAGATGCTCTTTGGCCTTGGAGGACTGGCTGGTACTCTTAGATGTAAATCAGCAGAGTGGTCTTCTGTGCCTTGGAGCTTATATTTAGCAGCGAGTGTTCTCATATGGTAGTGCTTATTGCAGATCTCTGCAGATTGTGCCCCATATTTAAATACTTTTTGTTTATTTTATTTTTACTTTTCTAATGAGGAATTTCTGCCCAGGTCCTCGACAGGGAGAACCTCAAAATTTAGAAATCTTTTAAGGGAGATAAACCAGCCTAGTAACACACCCTGAATCTTTGAAAGTTTTGTTGGGGAGGAGGAACACAGCCAAAAGTTATCTGCTGGGTTTTATACACATGGAGCTTTAGTCTTCACATAGTAATCTATCAGCCTGACATGGTGTATCTTAAGGGTTTGTAACCATCCTGTATCTAGGTACTCTGGGCTTTCATCCACCTCTCCTTTTTTTAAGAAAGTGAAAATTAAATACACATTAGTTCAGAGGAACTGAGCAGAAGCATTATTGATGTTTTTAGAGATACTATTAAGAAAATCTAACAGCACAACATTTTCAGGGGACACCATACATGTGCCTGTTTGGGTGTGCATGCTTTCATGCCAGCCTTGCTCTGGTAACACCTCCTTGATCAGACACCTCAGGTTATGCTGTAATACTCCACGTAACTTTGGAATTCCACCCAAATCATCCTAAATCCATTATTTCTCATAATTGTAGATACCATGATGATGAATAACAGAGCTGCATCCTATTTCATGTCATGAGATATGGAATTATACTAGGCAGGAGATATACAGTTACAGGAAAGCAATAATAGGCAATTTGGATTTTTTCCAGGCTTGAACAGTTTTATCACTGTGTTTACCATGTACTGGTCTCTTCCTGGCACAGTGCATATCACCATTCAACGGACTGATAATACACTGCAGGTAAACACAGTAATACTGTATGCCTTTCAGGAATTTATATGATACTAGGGCATAAATTTGCTAGGAAACCACCCAACAAGGCTACTACTATCTTTAGAGAGCTTCACTGCTGTTCTGAACACATTTTGGATGAGACATTTTAGAATAATAATACAACATATTAAAAAAATAGAAAGGAAGAAAAACAAAGAAAAAAGGGGAAAAAAAGACACTAAAACCAGCAAAGTGCAGACACACAACATGCAAGCAGACACTAAGCAGAAGAGCTACATTGAGACTGTCCTACAGCTACTACCTCAGATCTAGGCCCTTTTGCCAAGGCTTTTTCAGCTTTCCTCCTTTTGAACTCTGCAATTTCTTCCGGGAGTAACCCATGAGCTCTATACCTGCAGTGAACAGGTAGGCCATTAGAGAAAGAACCAGTTCAGTTTCATCAGTAATAAAGAACAGACTGTAACGTAGACCAAGTGAAAGGTAAGTGTCTTCTGGTGAGAAAAAGGAAAACAAATATTGGTCCTGGTTCTGATTTTATTTATTCCCATTTTGTATCCCTGCATCTTGACTTACTGCAAAAAGTGAGGTCAACTAATTAAATTTTAAGTGTCCAGAGGTTTCTTGGTACTCTTAGACACTTCTCCCAGGACAAGATGAATGACTTTGTTGATTGAGGAGCACAAACTATATGTCTGTCATGGCTGTTTCAGAATCTATTAGACAAGATGAATCCTGGGGGAATGATTCCACCGATCCTTCCCCTCATTAATTAAAGGAAAGAAAAGAACAAAACTGCTGAGAAGACCTCACCTTTGGTTGGTTCAGTTCCTGTCTCAGTGCCTTTTGGTCTTCCAGGGGTGTTGCTTTCAGAAGCTCTCATCTCTCAAAAGTATGGGCACATTTCCTAATGGAAATCCTATTTAACTGTCCCCAGAGATAGCCAGCTGTCTCTGAAAGCTTAGTATAAATTTAACAGCCTTTCCTGAGGGAGATCAGAGTCAAGTTTCAGCTCTTTTGTCAGTTCTGTTCTACAAATGCAAAAATGTCTAGTCAAGTTGTCCTCCTATTCCTTACGTAAATCCTCAGCTCTGGGAACATCTTACTTTTTTTTAGAAACATTAATCCCTGTTTATAAACTTCCTCATGAGTGCTGGAGCATTTAGAGCTCGGTCCAAAGGACAGGGAAGCCAGGGGGATATAATCCTGATGGGCTCAATGAGGAATGACTTCTGGGAATCTACAACTCAGGTGGGATTTAGCTCCCTGCCATTTGTCTCTCCACAACAGAGTATTTTCATCTGAGCCAAATATCTTATCTTCCCTTCTGAGCCAGTGGAGGGAAGCTGACATTGCTGGACCACAGGAGGGGTTTATGCCAAGGTAGATATCCTTAGTGAGGCAGAAGATCTGCACCTAGAAATGTCTGTTTCTCTGCACTGACTCTTAAAAGGTGTGCAAGATGACCAGATCAGATGGAGGCAAATAACATTTAATAAGATTAAATCCTGACTGTTGGAGGGAGAAGAGGAATCTTTGTGTCCAGACCCTTTATGCAAGAGGTAGCAAAATTCAGCCACAGGGTGAGTGTGAGTGGTTTGTTCCTTGAATCCACTTGGTAGGACTCACCCACAGAGGAGTGGAGGATGTTGCTGCCTGTGTCTGCACAATAGTGCAGCAGGTTGTGACCCACAGAAGGTGAAGACCTGACAAGGATATTTAGGGATGAAGCACAGTATGAGATTGAGGTCCACCTCCAAACATTGCTCACACAAGTATCAAATAACTGTGTGATAATGACTTGACTTTCATCCACAACTCAATAACAAGAAGAAAGATCCAGTGCAAAAATAGAACTTCCACATCTCCTGACCTCAGTAATGTCTGAGCAACTGAAGAGGTCTGGTTTTGCACCCTCCATCCCATTCTCTGGCAAAAGCCCTCTTTTTGGAGACAGCTGTTATTTTTCCAAGGTCCTCTCTTCCTACCATCTTGCTTCCAACAGCCAGCAGAAGAAAATCTGTAAAGTCCTGACTTTGCTTCCTTTCTGAATACTGCCTTTACGGTTTCTTGCTATCAGCACCAATTCCCTAACATTCTGTCAATTCTTCAGAAACCTCAGCTTGCTCAAAAAGAGCTTGTTTAAAAATAAAAGCTGAAGCAACCATATCACAAGTCAGACAGTCTTGTTCAAAGGGAGATGTCACAGCTTTCATTCCCTCTCTCCCATCAAGTTTCAGAGAATATTCTTCTTTCTCAAAATCATTATGCCACAGCCATGATCAAAATATTCCTTTTTCTTTATTTTTCTACTGTGTTAAGGGGGTCAGAAATAATTCAAAAAAAGGGATCGATTGTGAAGCAAAAAGCATCTGTCCTAAGATTTGGTGATCAAGTCTGTGAGTATGAGCCAGAGGATGTTTGGATTTCCCTAGATAGCTCTTGTTATATGTTATGTAAAGTTTATCTAGGAAATATTTTGATGCTGTTATATAAGTCCAGCTATGGAAGGACAACAGAAGTTTTTTGCTGCTGTTTGCCCAACAAGCTCTTTTATTTCTGATTTAAAAGAGCATCGGGTAAAAGACTTCAAATAGGAGCCTGAGTAGAAATCTTTCTAGACACATCATCAGCAGCAGCAACAGGAGAGGCTCTCTACCAATCAGCTCCCATCAGCTCAAGAGCCTAGAAATTAGGAAATCCTTATGAATGTATATGAGATCATGACTTGAAACTTCCATATTTGCCAACAAGAGAGACACAACTTCATTTTTGGGCCAAAAACTGAACCATCAAGATAAAGCAGGAAAACCAGGACATACTGTCTGACACCGATCTGATAACAGCACAGCTGATGCATGAGGTGCTTCTCCAAATATTTACCTTGTTCGAACAACCAGTTACTTCTTTCTGTCATCTGATATTTGATTTCTACAGGGTGTAACTTTCATTATGACACTTCACTAGGACAAATTCTGTTTTGTATAATTTTACTTTTTCCTCTGATTACTGTAACATTCATTCAACTGCTGCGTGACGATCTAGGGGGACAGAGATACTGCAAAAGAGCAGTGAAGATCTGCACCTTGGGACAAGAGCAGATCACCTCCCTCTCTGCAGTGCTACAGGTGGACTCGACAGAGGTTACACACGGATGTTCAAGACCTTGTGATCCTGGGTTCATGGGAACATTTTTTTACTTCTCTTATTTTATGCATGGACCTTATTCAATTTCTGCTATTTACAATCCATGTTTAGAAACAGCTGAGCCCTGCATAAATCTGACTTTGGTTCACAGGACCAGAGGCCAGGATCTTTGAGAGTGATGAAAAGAATCTCAACAGTCAACAGACCCATAAATCATGACTTTTAGATAATAAAACCAGGATGAGAGGAATCTACTCTCAAAGTAAAAGTGTAAGTGCTTCATTGGTTGCATGGTAAGCCAGCCCACCTGTGCTAATATGGCAAAATTCCTCCAAGTTTCATATTTCCTGGGCATAATGCATCATTGGTATCAACACACATTATTCAATAGCTCATTTCCATCAAGTATTAATAGTAAAATGCCTTCAAGCCTAAGAAATATTGTCTTTCAAAATTGTCTTTCAGTAAACTTCTATTTTCACCCTGACTGACACCCAAACAATTTTAAAATGATGTCCCCAAATACTGTAATACTGTAAGTTCCACCTTACTCCAAGAAAGCTCTGGGATGGCTCTGAGCATGGGCACTGCCCTGTATGAAGCCTCCCAAATAGTTGACTATTGCGTGTATTGCGTGCAGAGAGAGATAAAAAAAAGAAGTCTTCATTTTACTAGGAGGAAATGAGATAATACGTAGAACAAGACTGATCAGGAGAAGTCAGAGTCACTTGAGGACAGACCTTGTTTGTTGTCAGACCTCTGTCTCTGAGGTAGTCACTGTAGGATCTCTTTACAGTCAACAAAAGAGGCACCATGCAAGGGCAACTCATCTTCTAACACAGACGTCCAAGTAGGCCAATCAAATCAGACACCATAGCTTATATTTCTCTTTATTGACTATAAAGGGAGTCAAAGTTGACTGCTTTTAATGTGGGTGACTATGCTGTTCTTATAAAACAAATCTGACTCCTGTTTTTTGATGTCCTGACCCCAACATCCTTTCCAGGCATACAGCAGGTAACAGCTGAACAGGCAGTACTCTGTTTGCAAAGTCAGGCATGACAAAGCTAGAAAAATACTTAATAAATTTTGAGTGATCAATCTTTGCTCACCGCCACCTGTATGGAGGCAACAACATTAGGTCTTCAGTTACCTAACAGTGCCATAATTTATAACACAAAGTCTCCTTATTTTTCTATTAGAGCGAAAGGAAAGAAACATATTTATATGTTGGATGAGGTTGGTGTTTTCCACAGGAATTCTAATGGAGGGAGAGAAAAATCTGAGTGTCACCCATACACTGATGACAACAGACCTGAAAGTGTCCGTACCTGTGCGTCTCCCATGTGCACACAAAGTACGAAGGAAATTAAGGAAGGAACTCCCTGGTGCTCAGTCTCCGAGGGAGTATAGGGGAGAAGCAGCAGGTTTCCAGGTCACTTCTTAGGAACTGTGACTAAGGAGAGGAAATGAAGAAACCACACCACTTCTCAGTCTCAGTACTATGCCTGAACATACAAGTCACCTAAGGGAAATGATACAGACTTTGCAAACAGATAACATGGAAAGACAGGTATTCAGCCCGCAAACTCCAAAAAGGACCTTTTACTGAATGTGTTGAACAGTGATGAAGTCACACTTACCCTGGCTTTAATTCAGGAGGTTTAGGTAAGGGCTTCAGAAAGCCTTTTTTCCCAACCAGCCAATATGTGTCTTCTACTCCTTTACCCTAAAATAAAACCAAAATTCCAGATAAAGAGCAGCTTTCTGAATGCCCTCTGCTCAATATGTAATTTCCTCTGGATTTCTCTGGCTTCATATATATCCAGAGACAGACCATGGCTTGAAATCTTGGGCGGTCCTTCAGAACAACTCAGGAATTATTTGAATTTCATTATCCTAAACCAGGATATTCATTATCCTTTTTGAAACTGTCATTTACAAATGACCCAAATTGATCTGGGCCATTGAAACTACACAGTTAAACAGAAATGGGAAAGTACAGGATCTCTAATCATCTTATTTGGCAGTACTAGCATTATTAATTGAGAGATTTTACAACTCTTTCTGGACTGAGTATCAGAATATAACTATCCTCTCCCACTACTGATGATTTAGCTTTTGAGATATGATACATCTGGTGAACTGTAGGCATCTATATCAGAGCCAATCACCCTTGGCTGAAGAAGTGGAGGAAATCATTCATCTTCACATAAACTGGACTCTGAAATAATTTTCTAAAGTGCCAATTTATCTCCACTAACTGTGTAAAGATTTCTTTCCATTGACTCAACCTGGAATAATTACCTCTGATCTCCACTTGCAGACATGTGAACTCAGATGGGATGATTCCACTTGTCAAGAAAGATTGTTGAGGGGCCCGAGGCTGTATTCAGAGCTTTAATTCTAGATGCTTAAGGCAAGTAAAGATCCTAATTTTGTCTATTAACTGTGCAAGGGTAGAAATGATGGTTGAATTATTTAACACTGTCTTATTGGGACACTGTGAAAAGTAGCAGCTTCTGTTAAGGGTGGACTAAATAGAGTACTATATAAATACTTATATCCAGCACATACAGCTGATTTCTCAATCCCACAGTCCTTCAATAACCATCTCATGTACTGAAACAACTGGAAGGGACTATTTTGGAAGGATTTGACAGAAGAGTGGTGGATGAAGGCCAAACAAGAGCTTAATATGTAAACTCCTTAAACAAGAAGACTCCCTTGTGAGGCTCTTCACGCAGCTCTGGCCCTTCTTACCCTCAGTTCTGTTTTCCCTCTAGGTATGATTTCATAGCCTTCATTCAGACTCCGAAGCGTATCCACTGTACTTTGGCTGACATGAATTCTGTAAGCTGGGAACAGAAAGCAAAACAGCTGGATCACTATACTGCACACAGGCTGCAAATTCCCCACTGCTTCATACTGAGGAGGAGAAGGGCTCCAAAGCATGCAGGTGCGTAGCTGGTGTAGCTGTGTGGTGCTCCTCTACATAGAGTTCAATGCTGACTGATGGATCCTACAAGGCAGGGCTGTAACAAGCACAGGGGCAGGGGAGATCCACGGTGGGGGCTTCCTGGAGATGGTTACCAAACACATTAACTGCGGAAGCCCAGCTCAACAAAGAGAGTAAGTGAATTTTCCAGTAACACTGTCAGCTGGATTGCTGACATTTACCTATTTCCACAGAATAACTAGGGAATGGGAAAGACAACAAAATTAACTAACTGTCCTGCTCCAGACACCCAGAATAATTTGAAAGTTGGGATGAAGAGCAGAGACATGGAGTTTGCAAGGGAACATAAAAAAAATGTGGCTATGATTTATATGACATATCAATGTGGATATGTCTGGGCTTTCAGTAATTTTTCAGAGCTACCATTAATCTGTGAAAAAAAATGCAAAGGTGGAGAGCCCTACTGAATTCCCATCTCCCCCAGTTTGTTTCACAGCCCTTGCTGGAACTCACTGAAATTTGTTATTGTTATTCTGGTGTGAACAAGTGAGGCAATGTTTCTAAAACTTTTTTTTCAAAGAAAAGTTCAAAGATACTTTTCTTTTTTTTTGTTTTGTTGAGCTTTTATCTCAATTGTGTCAATCACATTCCCTTCTGTCTTTAATGATGTAGGATGAGCCAATTCATTTTTTTTTTTCATAATAATCTAAAAGAAGAACATCAGTTGGAGTATGTAGAGGAAGGTCACATAGCTATGAGCTACATTTCCTGAGAGACTAACCTACAATTTTCCTGTTGTTATTTATCTATATGCATTTCTACTGATGTACAACAATGCTTTTGTACCTGCAGTTCTCCTGCTGCCTCCATCTCAGTGGGACTTTCTATGACCAAAGGTATCATGGAAGCAATGCCCTCGTGTGCTTCAACCCTTGCTTTGTAGTGGTCATGACTGGTAAACGCATTATTTTACTGTGCAAGAACAGCTCTGAATAAAGGGTTCTCAGCACTGACTGAAAGCAAGATCCAACCTATGTCAGAGAAAACTAGGGCAAGATTCATGTTGATTTTGGTTGGTGGGATTCAAATTAGAGGACTGTAGCTGAGAAGGCAGGATCATGAAGGCAGGGTCTTAAAGGCTGACTTACAATTGCAAAGCTGATGCCCTGTCCTTCAGGCTGCTTTGAATTTTGTCATTTGACTTGCCCTTTTTTCAGTTGCAATGCTTACAATTACAGATGTGCATTTCTTCATCTCTCTTGAGAAGTTAGTTCAGCCATCCACCCCAGGGACTGTCCCAAATACTCACGCAGGCCCGTGGACTCCATCCGTGACGCCGTGTTCACCGTGTCTCCGAAGAGGCAGTACCGTGGCATAGTCAGCCCCACCACACCTGCCACACAAGGACCTGAAAGACACATCATCTGTGTAACCCAGATGGTACTGCACAAATCTTGGGGCTCACTGACAAACAAATCTTGTCCTCTCCTCTGACACCCAAAAAGCCACTTGGGAATACAGAAGAAGGGTTTTTTTAAAGATCTCACTGGACTCAGTGCTTGCTATAAGCAATCAAAAATTAAGCACTGCTCTGGATTGCACACTGGTGTTTTATGCCTGAGAAAGACCATGTGTGGTAGGACCTCAGTTTACCATCATCTAGGACAAGTTTGTCCAGAGTTCATGGAAACTCAAGGACTACTATAATCTCACTTTATAAAGACCTTTTTCCATGTGAGAAAACAAAAGTTTGGATCCTATGATATGCCCTGTATCCCACTGAAACAGGATTAAAAATCAGCCTTGGAATTCCAGAGGTGCTGGCAGCACTCTGGACCACCCTGTGTCCCCTCCTTGGAAAGAAAAACATCATTAGCTTGCCTTTCTAGCCAAAACCTGTTTTTTTTTCCTTTATCTCATTCTTTTTACAAAATCCATTCACTTCCAAAATAGCTTCCAGAGAATTGGTGCCAAGTTCGCAGAAGAGGTATGTGTGCAGGATTCACAAGAACATGCACACACTGACAGATGAAATGTGTGACAGCCAAATATCACAGACAATTGTCATCCCCTTGGCTTAGCTGATGTTTAGACTGCACTCTGAAAGATAAGATGCTAAATTTCATCACCCACAATATCAAAATATGAGGCCTGTAAAATAAATGCAAAACCAAACAAACAGAAAAATCAGTGTAAGGAGGTGTGGGGTTTCCTGTAGAGAAAAGACGGGAGACACTGTATTTTCCATTAGATGCATTTATGAGATATGTCTTTGCCTTTTCAATGTCATGATCACTCTGAGTTAAGATTTAGTATAACTGATATCTAGGAAATCTTTTGCCATGCAAGTTTACAAGAGATGTGAACATCGTACATCATCAACACTACCTGAAATGATGCTACAGATAAGGTTGTATGTTAAAATGTTGGAGGTTTTGTGGGTTAAAACATTTGTTTTTAAAACAGTAGTAATAATAATTGTAGCCCAATTTAGAAGTGATCGGTTACTTGTTTTAGTACAATGTAATTTTAGTGCGATGTATTTTTAGTGCGATTTTAGTCTTATTTACAAAAACTGATTCTTTCAGATACATCTTAAGGACAATGAAATTCCATAGCTGAAGGTTATGGGGAACTTTGCAAGGACCCCTATTGCTGTGACCTCTGAAAGGTTGTTGCTGCACAAAGCTACCAGATTTTAATATACTTTATGGGGATGCAAACTGAGAGGTGAGACAGATTTTAACTCTTGCCTGATAAAGCACTGCTAGATTAAAGATTAGAAAAAAAAAAAGAGATAAGAAGAATACCAAAAATGTTCATACTAAAAATGTTACAAGGGCTTAAACAGCATGTCTAGATCAAACACAGCATGCAGAGACTGATGGAGATCATAGAAACCCAATTTAAGGTTTGGTTTTTTTCAACTGTCATTGAACCTTGGACAAGACACTGCTCATCAGAATCTCTTCCAATTTAATTCCCATCCTTATCGGTACTTTCTAATTTGTTTCACGAAGCTCCTTCTGTAGTAGGTGTTGCAAGGACACAAAAAGATGGTTCCTGTCAAAAAAACACTCCTAACTGAAGGGGATTTGATTCCATCTTAAGAAGCACAAGTAAAGGGAGCCAAGCTTCTACTGTTGTCAATGGAGGCAAGTCAATGTGATCAACTGAGCTGTGAGAGCCTTTCTACACCTGCACCTGAACAGCTCTCCAGGGCTCACTTATGTGTCCTCAAAATTAATGCAGGCTCCCTAAAAACCCTGGAAACACCTCCATGTGTGTGCCTAAATTCAGATTACCTACTCAGTCAGTGCAATCATCTAGCCATTTCTGCGAAGCTCACAACCTAGGAGAGGCCAGATTTTTAGGGTGAGGTACTTATGCAGGAAGTTCCTAGTTCAAAACCAGCCCTACAGCGTAAGCATTTCCAGAAGACTTCTCTGTGTTGAAAGCATCCAAGACTTAATTCACTCACTGCCTTCACTGCCTGGGTGTGTTCTCCCTTGTCTAGACAGCTTCAGCAAAAGGCTAGCAAAAATTTTCTGGTGGTAAATCTCCCACAGTAACAACTTTCAGAGAAAACCAGACACTCTGTGATGAGGATGTTATGGCCTAGTTGTTTAATTACACAGGTTCACAGGTTTGCTTTGAAATGGTTCTTTGCCAGGGCTTGCAAGTGTCAATTAATGAGGAGTTCTGGCTAAGACTTTGCAACAATTGTCAGTGGTGCTACAGACTTTAGGAATCCAGATCAAAGTACAGGGTTGACTGGTAGAGAGCCTGACTGATAAACAAATCTTCAACCTCAGTGGAAAAGCTTGTCCTCTCACCAGTGCTCTCCCCAGATGTCCAGCTCCCACCCAGATATGGATGGCATGGAAACAGCTGAGTCAGCTGAGTTATCCCGGACATGCAGTGAAGTCAAGAGTGGAGAGACAAGATTCCAGGATTCGTTTAAAGCAGGAGAGAAACTGCAGACCAAACCTTGGTCTTCTTGTCTTCTTTGCCTTACCCATGCATTGCCACAACTGGACCATGGACATGGGCCAGCAGATTTTCCCAGTTATGTAGCTCTTCATTGGGGTTGAAAGGACATGGGCAGCCCATGCTCAAGTGGCATTTACTGCTTTTTCAGAGAGGTGATCATGAGCTTTCCTTGACACCACTTTCCAGAGAGCAGTTGAACTGCATAACTGGAGGTCACACCCGTTCTCCATCCTTTCCAGTACAGTGAAAGTGTCAGCCAAGATTTCCTCTGCCCCAAGTGCCTCCTCAATGCTTTCATGATGCTGACGATTCCCTCTTTGTGCTTTTTTTCTCAGTAGAAATAGGGTCTAGGGTTAATCAAACTCTATTGTCAGCTCACTGGCTCAGAGAGCTGGATTGCTTTGAACATGGATTTGTGGCTGCTCCCATGACAGTACAATGCTGCCAGATCTGTGCAAAACAAGATCTTCCTTCTGCTTCTTTAGTAAGAAAACAGCAACTCCTCCCCCTCCTCCTCTCACACCCAATACAACAATTCTTAGCAATTCTGCATTCCAGATACTTAGAGTTCATAAAAACAAGAAAAAATATAACTACCCCCTGTACACATCACCTAGCGATAGATTTTTTTGCAGACTGCATGGAAGACACATTGCAGAACTGCTGTCAGCAGGAAGCAGCAGATGTTGCACATCAATTTCTTCTCTTTCCGTGTTGAAAATGTGCTGCTTGTGCAGGTGGGTGCTGCTGCCTACCTGTGTGCAGCCCGATTCGTATCCTGAGGGGAATGTCTGGCATATGCCTCATTTTGAATGTTCCTACTGAGCTGAGGATGTCCAAGGACATGTTGGCTATCTCAGCCGCGTGCTTGTTCCCATTCCGTTTTGGTAGTCCTGAAGCAACCATGTAGGCGTCACCAATTGTCTCCACCTAGCAAATACCATTACATTAAAAAAATAAATTAAAAAATTTGAAAAAGATGGGAAGGAGACATAGAATAAAACTACTCCTCACCTTGTAAACGTCATGATTTCCAAGAACAGCATCAAACAGCGTGTAAAGGTCATTCAGGAGGTCAACTACTTCAATGGGCTCACTGAGGGCTGAAATGGATGTGAAGCCCACAATGTCACTGAAGTAGATGGTAACCTGGTCAAAATACTCCGGTTCCACAGTGCCGCCAGTCTTGAGGGCTTCTGCCACTGATCTGAAATAACAACACCAGCAAAGATGGCAGGGCACAAACCCTTTTCTAATAATAATAATGGCCAGTCTTCGCGAGCGAAGATCCGGGGAAGGTCTTTCCACCTTCCAGCCTGCGCATTGGATTTTTTAGGTGAGACACAGTGTGCGCGGAACTGAGCCCACCCTTTAATCCTAAGGTTCATCTGCCGGGGCCAAGCGAGCTTGGACAGTGGCAGCGAGGTCCTTAGGACGTAGGTGGGTTGCCTTTAAGGGCTAACGAGCCCCACCTGCCCGGGAGTGGCCCTGACCGGGAATCGAACCCGGGTCTCGGCGGTGATAGCGCGGCGCCTTTACCACTAGACCACCAGGGGCTCCAAACCCTTTTCTACTGTATGCCCAAGAGCTCAGACTCATTTTTCCTACTTGTTTGGAATATCTTTCGCTAGATAGAAAGCTCTATGTGGCTGTAACAAGTACTGATTAAAGTTTCTTACTTTGATTGGAAGGTGCTGGCCAAAATTGGAGGTCAGCTGTACATTGTTGCTCACTTCTGGGGAATATTTTTAGCCTGTCTAGCCATGGATTATTTAGTTTAGTTTGGGTTTTTTTTATACCACCTTAAGTACCAGTACTTACGGGGGAAGCATTTGTGACAGCAGTTTTTCTGTCTTCTGTTTTTCAATCTCGAGCTCTTCGGTTCGCTCCCTGATTAAATCTTCCAGGTTGCTTGAGTATTGCTCAAGCATCCTGAGCATTGAGTCAATGATATTAGTCTTTTTCCCTTTGTTGATTGTTTTGAACTGGAAAATAAAACTGGAGAGTTATTTGTCCACCTCATTACACCACTGTAGCACTCTAAGTCTGGAGAAGAATGAAAAGTAAACACTTATTTTAAAGGTTCAGTGCTAAGGACTGGTTTTATCAATGGGAAGAGGTAAACAGTGAAGGAAAAAGGCAAATTAGAAAGTGAATTTGCATCAATAGCGATAGAAGCTGCCCAGGAGCATGTTGCTCATCTATGAGCTTTCAGTGACAGTTCCCTTACATTACCTTACAGTAGTTATCAATATTGTTGTTAAGTAGTTTTATCAGGCTGCAATCTGATGGGGTTTGCAATCCCATTTATCCCATGACCAATCTTTAAGGTAATTTGCAAATTTTTGCATTCAGGGTATTAGCAACACTTACAACCTGCTTACATATTACTGTACTTAAATCCATCTTTGCACGCTGGCATGTGTGTGTATTTCCACCTCCATTCCCTATTCTTCATTAAGTTGTAATTTCTCCTCCTGGCCTGAAGTTGAACCTCTGGAACCTTTGGATAATTTGTGGCTTCTGAAGCTGCCTTAGATTCAACAGTGGAGTCACTGGGTCTAAAATTGTTCCCAGCTTCATAGAACCAAAAGGTAAAAATTATGGATGTTTGTTCACTTGGTGTCAGACCAAGTAAATCAGTAGATCAGTAATTATTGGGTAAGAACCACCTTGTGAGGGAGCATGTGTGTGGGGGCGAAGGGCTAGGCTGGGTCTGCAGGCACATGATCTGTAGCCTCGTGGTAGGAAGGCACATGTAAGGCCTGTAGCCAACACAGCTGCGCCCACAAAGAGCACATGGCAGCACTGAGACCCAAGTGGCTGGGCTGTCAACCAGCAAGGCCTGCCTGGTAGCCTGCCCACACTGCACCCCCTGGAGCCTCTGACTGGGTGCAGAACTCCTCCCTTTGGCCAGGAAGACACTCATGTGGTCAGTGAACCAAAGGTCCTGCCTAGAAAGAGAGGCCACAGTAGATAAAGCGGCACATGTAAGGTCTCCCTTTTGCCTGGTGTCCTTGAAGTTGTCAACATGTGACCTTCCAGTGGAAACTATATTTTTTCTCTTAATCTCTCTTCCTTTACTCTTCCTCTTGTGGGTAACAAAACCACCTATTCTCTGTCTTTCACTTAAGTTGTGGGTATCTCATTTAAGTTGTATAAGGTTTTGTGTTTGCTGGGTATAACAAAAGTTTCCTACTCTATAGGAAGACCCAGTAGCCTGTTGTAATACTTTTGTGAAGTTGCATGTGATCTCTGTAAAACCCATTTTGGTAAAATGCCTATTTTCTCACCAAATTTTTTTTGAAAAGTCTCTTAGACAAAATGCATCTTTTCTCCAGACATGAACTCAAAGTATCAAAAAACCAGAGCTGGTTGCAAGAGTTCATAGGGGCAAAATCTCTTGAAGTCTAAAATTAAAGTGTACACCCCATAAAGCTAGCCTGGGATGTAACACTTGGTTTGAGGAAATGGTTTCAAGTTGTGTCAAGGAAGGTTTAGATTGGGTATTAAGAAAATTCTTTTTTTCACATAAAGGGTTGTAAAGCATGGTAGCAGACTGTTCAGGGAAGTGGTGGAGTCACCATCCTTGGAGCATTCAAAAAACTTGTGAATGTGGCACTTAAGGACATGGTTTAATGACAAACATAGTGGTGGTGCTTGGTTGGTTGTTGGACTTGATGGTCTTGAAGGTCTTTTCCAACCTTAACAGATCTGAAATTCTATGATCTTATAAGGACATAGGAACTGCACTACTGGATCAGAAAGGGAGTTTATTTTGCCAGTACCTGCCCATAAGACTGGCCAGTAACAGATGTCTGGGAAAGCTGTTCAAACTGGGCTCAGGTACAGTCATATTTCCCTGGGATGCTCTCCCATCCTCCACCAATCTGGAGCTGAGAGACCTCCTATGCCAAAACATCGTATCTTTGTGTTTAACAGTCTTTGGAAAATTTTTCTTTTACTCACCTTTTAAAAACTTTAGAAGATTAAAAAAAAAATATATATATAAAAAAAGTGCTATCATAATTTACAAATCATTGATCTCCATGAGACCATCTGTGCAGGTACACTGCAGATGTGAAGACATCAAGCCCATGTCCAGGCTGCTTCACCATCCCAAGGTCAGAACAAGTCTAGGGCTCTTCCACTTCTTCATTCTTTAATAACTCAGTCAAAGAAAAAAACCCCAAACAACAAAACACTTCTCTGCCAAGTACGAACAAAGGAATTACACCCTCTGCTGTATTCACCGACCTTATGAAATACCTCCTCAAAGGTTGGACGTCTTTCAGGGGCTTCAGCCCAGCATTGCTTCATTACCTGGAGGCACGTCAGGGGGGCCACCTCAGGGGCTATGTTTGGGCGGCACAGAGGAGGGGGTTTCTTCACTTTCTTTATGATTTCTGTGACAAAGAGAAGAATGGGAAGCATGTTCTGAGATGGAGTGCTTTGATAGGGGCAAAGGACTTTTCACCTGTCCCTTGCTTGCTTCTTCAGCCCTTACTGTTACTTCTCAGCACCCAGTGTCTGTGTCAAATGAAGTTGAGGTTTCTGCTTTACTCTGTCAGGAGTCTCTTGAAGGATTTAAAAGAGATTCATCTGCTTTCTTGTCCCTGGAGAACCAGGTTATGAGCAATAAGGTGGTTGGATGGGGAAAGGATGTGTGACAGATGGATGCGTGAGCCTGCAGGCTTGTATTTAATGAACTTCCCTCTGACTCTCTCTACTAGGATCAGCAGTCTTCTAAAACAGCAGAGGTTTAATGGCTGAGCCCAGACAGGAAGAATAACAGCCTCCGTCATTTCATGGTTAACTGGGAACCAGTACGTAGGAGGTTATGGGAATGGAGACAGTGGAAACAATATTAAGGGGGAGAGTTTGGGTTCAAAACAACATCTGGGAAATTGCTCCCTATCTAGAGGTGAAATGAGATTAATAAGGAACTGGGCTTGGGCTTTCAAACCCTGAGAAGTCAGTCCCTAAAAAAAACCCACCAAAGTTACTGTATTTGGAAGTTTCATTTTGTGTAGTGCAGAGCAGTCAAATGGAGTGGAAATCACTCTCTCTGGCAGGAGCTCTGCATTTCCACAGCTGTTGCTGTGAGTACCCAAAGCTTTTCAGCGTTGACAGTTTACTTTAAGGTTCTTTAGTTCATCCCACCCGTCTCCACCAAATAAAATAATCGAAGCACCCAGCCCAAATAAATCAACAGGCAGCCAAGGGGAAATGCCTTCCCCAGATTGTTTTAAAGTTCACACCACAAGTGAAAGCCCCTTAAGGATTAAGATGCAATGAGTAGAGATCCATCAAGCTAGGAAACTGGACTGAACTGTGTTCATATTTGTTGGAGATTTTGCAAGAGGACAAGAGCTAATCACAGCATAGGCTACATCATAGGTCCAGCTCTGATTTACAGGGTGGGATACAGCTTAATTATCATTGTCATTGCATTGTTGCACCATCTTCAGACTCAGCAAGGTCAGGGCCCCATTTTTTCAGGCATTGAAGTGGTAGTTACTGAATGGCCATACCCTACTTGGTGATGGACTCGCTTAAAACAGGTTGAGAACAGGCTGTCACTAAAATCAGCTCAATTTAGATTGTTCTCACTCTCTCCCTGTTCAATTTCTTGTGACCCGACCCAGACTGCAGTGACTTTACTCTCTCCATGTATGCACAACATGGTTGCACAAATGAACAGTTCCCACTGAGCTTATCTCTTTGCTATTTCTGATACAAGTCACCTTATATACAAGTAAAAGGTTAACGATATATCACTTCAACCTCTGTTGAAGAGAGAACCTCTTTAAATCGGGAAGAATTAAGGAAAAATAGATGAGCAAGTGGACAAAATTGGGTGCTTGCAAGGGATCCAGCTCAAAAACCTCAACCCCCATGATGTATGTAAAAATGGGCTGTCAAGTGAAAAGTTAAGCAGTGGGAACCTATGGAAAATTCTGCTGTCAGGTTTCAACCCATACCATGGTAAAAAGTTGGAGTTTGGACAGGGAACTGGAGGTGCTGTGGTGGCCTGACTGAGGTCCGCCCTGAAGCATCTTGAGGGGTACCCAGAGCCCCAAGGCTGTGAGTGGAACTACACAGGTTGATGTTTATTATGCATGTTTTGTTGAAAACAAGCTTTTGGTACTGAGAAAGGCCATGAGATTGATACATTATTTCCATATCAGTGTTTTAACCCAGGGGCTTGACAAGACTTTTTCTGAGTGCTCCATCCGAAGCCTTAAAATATACTGTTGCCTACCTTCAGCTGAGAGTTCTGACGTGCAGTATGGTGGACCCCGAGCAACTACTTCTTGTAGGATGATGGCAAAGCTGTAAATGTCTCCTTTGAACGTGCCTTTTCTGCGCATGTCTGGGTCCCTCAGTAACTCAGGAGCTGTCCAGAGCAATTCTAAAAAATTCCAGAGCATCACGTTTCTTACACTTGAGCTCAGACTCTTGCAAAGTAAGTGATTAAAGGAATACCTCATTTCAGTCATTTGAGAAAAGGTTGGAAAGTCCTTAATTATTTACTGGACCAAATATTTTACTTCTTGTGATGCATTAGAAATACTAAACTTCCCTCCTGACAAAAAAATTGAATTTTCCAGATTTCACTCTACATTTAAAAAAAAAGGTTCAGTACCAACAAATTTTATTATATAACACCAGCCTTGAAGTTCAGCATAAGAAGTCACCTCACCATTGCCAAAAGGTTTAAGGTTTTTTTCTTTGATATAAAATATCTCTGAGACAAAATGTTGGCACTTCAGCCTGGATTTCTTGTTACTCTTGTGTTTCTTTTAAAAAGCAAACAATTAATAACATTATTTCTGTAGTACTTCTTAAATGAAAGTAGTTTATGCAAAAGTAGTTTGTGACAATCGGAAGCACAATCAGTCTCTGTAATCCAACAGTTCAAGTGATGCAAAACACAGTTGTAAAACATATCCAGCCTCATGAAGAAATGAAACTTGAAACTGTGATATTGTTACCCTGGTAACTGTGCATTCTGAATAAAGGGAATAATGAACATTTCAACTACTGCAAATACATTTAACTTCCGTAAGGGATGAGAAGGTCTTCTGTCTGGTAACTGCCCTATCTGAGACACTGGAAATGTGTAGGCTTCAAATCCCACGACAGAAGGATCGAAACACGACCTACTACTTGAAACCATGTTACAAGAATAAATTGGGATATCAAAGGAATCCCAAGACAAGGGGCAGGTGAAAGAAATCCTGTTAAATCTCCAAACCTGGTCCCATGAGATGTTTTTCCTGAGTGGTGGGAATCTCATGTGGCAGCCTTTGGAAACTGTCATGTAGAGGGCCTATTTCAAAGACATCTGCATAATTTTGTGTTTCAGATGGCTTCTTTTAACCAAAAGGCTCTTTGCATGTGGGTTAATGTAAAACTTCAAATATAGGGCTTGGTCTAAGTATGTGAAGCCAATTCTACTGGTCACAGAAATTCAGTACTGGTAAGATTTCAGGGACAGTTAAATCCTGCTCCAACTGCAACAAGCTTACATTCTGTCACGACTTACAATAAAATCTATTTTCCTTACAATGACACTCTGTTATTCACTTCACATTCAGGAAGTCTGAAAAGAACTTAGCTTATCCTTTCCTATAACAGTGACATGCAGGAAACAAGATGTCATGAGATTGAGAATGTAAATCCTTATATAGCCACTGGCCTGAAATTGTATTAGGACAAACATTTGTTAAATCAATGGAAAAATATTTCCAAAAAGAATATTTCCTCATGTCACCTACCTTCTGGGGATGGCTGAACATAGGGGCATTTCTGTGCTTCTAAGAGCTCATTATAACCGTAGTCGGTGATCTTCAGCACAAACCGGCCATCCACAACACAGTTACGAGACTTGAGACGTCCATGGGCAAAATCTCGGTGATGCAAATATCTAATTCCCTAGGAAACACAGGAAAAACCCGAGGCTGTTCCTTAGGATTTATATCATTAATCAACATTCAGAGACACCAAGCCAAAGTGTCACCTTAGATGGCATCAGATAACAGCATTGACTTTATGTCACATGCAATCATGATCAAACCAATAAACTACGGGAGAGGTTCAGAAATGGATTAGGAACATGAGCTAAGTTGTCTGCACCATAAAGTAACATTGGAAAGGTCTGACAGCTTTAGGAACAGTCAGATGCCTCCCTCTGTAGCCCTAGGACTCATTGCACTTGTAAGTTCCATTTTTAGGCAAGGGTAAGAAAGCAGGCACAAGTGGTACTCAATGGTTAGGTCAAAGGAAGCCATGAAGAGCTGGATACCCTTATCTAGCTCCCTCCAGGAGGTTCAAAAGGTGTATCATAGGCTGCAAGAATGGTTCTGGCAGTCTATCCTCTGAAAACCACCTGTCCCAGATTGCCAGTTTACCATTATGGAATGAAAACAAATGGGACATGATTGGAAGGATGTGAACACTCTGCTAAAGGGACTGTATGTTTGGTTCTATAGTGGATGCATTTCTGATTTATAATAAGATAGGGCCTTTGAAAAGTATGAATTTGTCACAAAATTCTTTGTTCTAGGTGATCAGTTGCAACCTGATGTGTAGTTTAAACCTCTTATCCTGCTGTGTAGTCTTTAGTCCTGTTACCCCAAATAGTGCTCCTCTCAGATGGTAATAAAATTAGCATAAGAGTTCTCCATGAAAGATGCTGCATATCTATATAATTACATTTACATTGGTTTTCCCTGCATTACTATAAAAATCCCAAAGTTCTGAATCAAATAGCTCAGTCAATATAAAAGTCACATGCAGATCATACCTCAGCAGGAGCAATGGACTTACTTTAATTAGATCCATCACAAGAGAGGACTTGAACATCCAGTCTAGTTTCATATCTTCATTTCTCAGCAAGTCCTCCAGGCTTCCTCGGGAGCAGTACTCTGTCACTATGGCAAAGATGCCACAGTCAGAGAAAAAGCCCAGGAAGAGATTCACATTTTCATGACGCAGATCTTTCATCTGAAACAAGACAGTGAATCACAGCTAGACCAAGTCAGCCAGACATCTGCTCCGCAGCTTCTTGATATCATTAGATGTCCTTAATCACTCTTGTACTCCCAAACAGCCTTCCATACAAGGATGGGGAAGCAAACAACCTTTGTGATTGTTGTTTTTGGCTACTCAGTGCTCTTTTCAAGCTTTGCTTTCCTTTGTCTATCCATTGAGACAAACAAAGAAAGATAGCAAAAGCAAACTGAACAGAGATTTGTTTTCTGTTTAGACAGGCCAGATTGAATCTTTCAATAGGCCAAAATGGCTTTGCTGGGGTAGATTGAGTTCAGCATGTGGCATCTTGCTCTGGGTCTGGTCTGATTTGGAAAGCAATACCATACCTAGAGGGTCCAAAGTTATCCATCAGTGCTGCCTTTGGAGACATGCCCTGGTAAATTTATTGTATTTATATGCATTAAAATGCCACTGCTATGTTAGCGATAGCTGTCAAAAACTAATGGCCTTGAATATGGAAAATAAGTATGCTTTCTTGTCATTTAGTAATGATAATAAAATTGAAGACTTAAACTTTTAACAGGCATCTTAGGTGGAGACACAAAGCAAATACCAGAGAAATGCAAAACTGTCTCTGAGTCATACTGTCAACATATAATACATGGAAGTGTCTATCAGTGCCTCACACTGCATGGGGATGAGCTCCCCCAAACCACTCTGCCTTTGCAGGCAAGGTCACTTGGAGGATTCACTGTATATTTAGCATTGTAACAGCTTTGAAGTGGCAGATCCTGGGTGGGTTTTTGCAAACTGCTGACTCCAACATATTGGCCATTGGTAAGTTTGTGAGATGCAGTCATACATGGTCCATTCTACCAGATTTCAATGGACAAGACTCATTGACAACCATGATGGATGATTCAATGGATAAACAGGAGACAAGGAGAATAAGAACACCCTGAAGCTGCAAAAGTCCCCCCTGAGAAACCTTCCCTCCACACATCTCTTTATCCCCTGTTCCTACCTTCCTTAAGATGCTGGTGGAGCTTTGCCGCAGATTGTGAATTGCTCCGGTCTCAAATTTTTTCAGCCACACCCAGTCTCCCTGTCCACAATCACAGAATCACAGAGTGGGTAAGTGTGGAATAAACACTGATGGATCATCTAGTCCAATCTCCGTGTTCAAGCAGGGTCATCCTAGATCTCATGGCACAGGACGGTGTCCAGACAGTTCTCAAGTATCTCCAGTGAGAGAGACTACACAACCTCTCTGGACAACCTGCCCCAGTGCGTAGTAACTCACAGAGTAAAGAAGTTCATCCTCATATTCAGGTGGAACTTCCTGTGCATCAGTTTCTGCCCATTGCTTCTTGTCCTATTGTTTGGCTCCACCAAGAAGAGCCTGGCTCTATCCTCTTGACACCCTCCCTTGAGATATTTGTACACACTGATGAGGTGTCTCTGTTGTCTCTTCTCAAGGCTGAACAGGCTCAACTCCCTCAGCCTTTCCTCATAAGAGAGATGCTCCAGTCCCCTAATTACAGTACAGGTGGATGAATGGTAGAGCAAGTCTCTGAACAACATCTAACATTGGGACCTAGGTCTGAATTCCAGATCCTTCACTTTCAAACTGGTTAGGGACTTTTAATGTTCTTGGCAGTAGATTCTTTCTACACTGCACCTGAACAAGAATATCCACACAAATCCTCAAAAAAGGGGTGAGGAAGGGCTTTCACCCAGACCAGAACTTCATGCCTGGAAGGTGTATTAGTATCTGATAAACAATGATAAACTGATTAAAAAGGAAAGCAACTCTGGTCAGATCTTTTTTCTGTCATTATTGATAGATGCAGTTTATTTTGCTCCTCTTCAGGTAAAGTCACCATGCCATTTTTTCAAAAAGCTCTATTTTCAGGGAAGAATTGATGGATGGGGTGAATTTTCTCGGCTATTGCTTCTGCTTAAGCGCCATACAGTCCTAGTGGCACAAGAGGGAATTTGAAAGCCTTTATCTGCTTATTTGGATGTTGTTTTGTAAGAAAGTTCCTTATTAGAGATGTCACCAGCTATAGACTGTCCTGTAAGAAAGGTTCTTCATGGTGCCTTTAGGTGGTGACTTCTCTAAGAGGGACCAGATCTGGCAATGCTACATATGCATGTTGAATATCATTATCCCACAGGACTCCAAGTGTCAGGGTGAGGATTGGGGTAGAGTACCCCAACCTTTACTTACCTTAAGCACTTGGGTAAGTCCATGCTTGGGATTAACTTATTTTCATGCTTAGAGTCTGTTTACAGAATTCCTGTTCTGCGACCTACAGTACTGTAGCCCAAGGCTTTCCCACTGGAGCAGTTCAGTGAACAGAAGCAGTGGGAGAAGCCTGCATGAGGTTTCTACCTACCTCATACAAAGCCACATTGGAGGTTTCGTGGGTGGCAACTGTGCTTTTCAAGGAAGAGGAGCGGGTTACAGATTTCAGGCTTCTGCTGTTGATTGCTAAGCTGTTTGCATCAGTCAGACTGTCCAAGGTCAGCCTCTGGAAGGCAAGGAAAGCAGGTGCAAGACAGCTATCACCTTTGGATAGAAATCTCCACTCCAGCTCTGTCTTGGACCACAGATTTCTTGGTAAGGAAATCATGGGATCATGCCTCAGGAGGTCACCAGCTCTGGGTAGGAGCCAGCACAGATCAGGAATGGTTTCCAATATGTTTGAATGCAGACACTTTATTGTAGAGGGTAAGATGATTTACCTATATAGACATGCACTATAATATACCATGCAACCTCAAAAACAAAGAATAAGCCCTGGCAGATAGAACAAGCACAATCAAGGATACTAGTTTACATCATCATAAAATCTCTGACATCCAATCTGAGACTCAATACCACTCAACATGTGGGAAATTTTCTGATATGCAGGGGAAAATGACATGGAGAAGTGAATACTTTCACAGAGCTTTATGGGTATGAAAATACCACACAGCAAACCTGTTTTAGTGTTCTACCAGTTTACCTTCACGAGTAGAAGACTTACCTTTCTATGTAACTCTGGGTTGATGAAGATGAGGTCATCCAAGGTCACTATTATCTTGTTTGGACCCTTGAAAAGCTGGTTGTTCAAGATACTCTGCCTGAAAGGTTTGGAGATTCACAGTTATCATTTTTAGGTAGGTAACCAGTTTGCACCACCTCTGAATTCCCCACATCTGGCTTCCCTGCAGTATTAGACCCCACCTGCAGTACTGCTTCCAGCTCTGGGGCCCCCAGCATAAGGTTGTGGACCTGATGGAGCAGGTCCAGAGAAGGCCACAAATGCTCAGAGGGTTGGAGCACCTTTCCTGTGGTGACAGGCTGAGAGAGTTGTAGTTGCTCAGCCTGGAGAAAGAAAGGCTCAAGGGAGACCTTAGAGCCCCTTCCAGTGCCTACAAGAGAGCTGGAGAGGAACTTTGGACACGGTCATGGAGTGACAGGACAAGGGCGAATGGCTTAAAACTGAAAGAAGGCAGATTTAGATTAGAAATTAGGAAGAAATTCTTCACTGTGAAGGTGAGGAGGCACTGGCACAGGTTGCCCAGAGAAGCTGTGGCAGCACCATCTCTGGAAATGTTCAAAGCTAAGATTCATGGGGCTTTGAGCAACCTGGTCTAGTGGAAGGTGTCCTTGCTGACAGCAGAGGTATTGGAACTACATGGTCTTTAAGGTCTAAAATAGTTTGGCAATGGGGTTGGATGTTGGTGAAAGCAGTGGACAAATCACAATGCTTTGTCTTGGACTGAAATCCCCTGAGTCAAGAGTTATCCATTTCACACACTAAAAAAGATACCATCTCAAAGGGTGTGATCACAAATAGACAACTTGATTTAATCTGGTTACAAATATTAATTGGATGTGTATGTAATGCGTATTTTGTTTTGCTCAGTTTTATTTGTCATATCCCAAATTATCCTCCTTTAGGACACAAAAAGAGGTTTTATTAGTCCAACTGGCCTGGCTAGTGAGCTCAGTTGGGTAGAGCATAACACCAAGGTTGTGGGTTCAATCCCCACACTGGCCATTCAAGTGAGAGTTGGACTCCATGGGTCCTCATGGGTCCCTTCCCACTTAAAATATACTCTGGTATTGACTACTCTGTGATATTGATAAAGTGGACAATAGAATGTAATTTGCTAACTCTACTATAGAAGGACTCCATTACATAAAATACCCCTGCGTCACCACAATTCACTTGTCCACTCCATGTACCACTTTGGGCGTTTTAGAAGAGCACAGACAGATTCCTGGAGCTCAGAGGGAGCCTTGGTCGTGGAACTACAGGCTTTACTTGGGACGATGCTTTTATGATCTTTCTCTAACCACACTGTCCCAAGCCACCCAACTCATATTCATGCAAAAAACTCATCACTTGTGTATCTTACACCAGTCCACCTAAAAAACCTTGTTTGATCAATCACATCCTTTCCCACGAGCATGGAGGAAAGCATCTCTCTGCCGAAAGCTAAGCATAGAGAGGAGAGTGACTCATTGGAGGTCATGCAGCAGCTCCCTAGCAGGGCTAAGACCACAGCTTTCACATTTAAACTCAGACCATGATGTGGTTTAAATTTAGCTCCAGACATACCCTTTCCTAATAAAAATTATTGTCTAAGTCATGCTGGACTTTTTTCTTGGCTTGCAGATGGCCATACCTCTTTACTCACGACTGAGCCTTCCCAATCATGGTAGAAGAGCTTACAAACAGAGTAAGAGCTTACAAATAGAGTGGGCAGAAAGATTGTCTTTTATTTACTTAATTTTAGAGGGTGGTAGTCAGGGAATAGAGCCCAGTTTCAAAGTGTGGGTGGAAGGAGGCAACATCAGTGCTTGCAATACTATCAGCTGCTTCAAGTGGGGGAGCTGTTTGGGGTGTTGCTTGCTGGGTGGCCTTGTATCATCTGGGTTTGGGGGGATGGTTCACAACTGGAGACAAAACATGTTTGGGATTTATTTGAGAGGCAAAGCTGCATGGAACAGTCTAGGAACCCTGCTTTGCTGAACTCATTTCTGCTGAGTAAACATGCCTTCTACTTTCAGTCTATTTTCACTCTAATATCAGTCATGTAGACACCAATAATCAGAGACAGAGTACTCCAGGGGCTACAGTGTCCTTGCCAAAGAGCAATCCATAGCTCCTGGACCAAGCAGTCCATTCTGGATGATTTCTACCTTGGATATAGAGTTGGAACACAAGTGTGACCTATGCAATTATTGGAAATTGTTCGTTTCCCAGACGATTACTGCATTTGCTCCAAACATCCCATCCCCAGACCAATGTTTATACAATGGGAATGATCAGGAATATGAACTCCAGTTCAAAACAGAATAAATCAGTTTGATAATAAAGAGGCATCCTAAAAAATTGTGCCAAACCCTCTCCAGAGGTATTTTCTTTCTCTTTAGTACACAGAGAAAATACAGAGGGTCAGCCTTACATGTTTCATAGGAAACATGGTTGTATCAGGGACAGAAATCCAAGCAAGAATGATCTGGAGTAAGAAAAAAAGTTGGTCTTCACCCTCATGTTCTCATAGCAGATTCCTGTCTTTGGTTCATATGTCATCCTTTGCATTTCCAAAGTGATAGTCATCTTCCTTACGCTTCAGACCCATCATCCAGCTAATCTCTACAGCAACAGACTGCAATCTCCTGCCAAGCCTGGACTGCATTAAGAGTAAAATGGCTGCTCCTGAGACTGCAGAACCAATGCCTGCAGTGCTCAAGCCACTGTCACCTAATAAAGTTGTATTGGGTTTGCATGGCAAAGTTTTGCTAGTGGGGGTCTATAGGGGGGCTTCTTTGAGAAGCTGCTAGAGCCTTTCCCTGTGTAAGGAGGGGATTCTCCTTGATGGAACCAATGCTAGCTGGCTTCAACACAGACCTACTGGTGGTCAAGCCCATCAGCAACAGTGGTAGCACCTCTGGGATAAGATATTTAAGAAGGAAAAAAATAACTGGGGTAACTTAAGCCAGAGAGGAGCACGAATGTGAGAGAAATAACCCTGCAGAAACCAAGATCAGAGAGGAAGGAGGGGGAGGAGGCGCTCCAAGTGACGGAGCAGATATTCCCCTGCAGCCCGTGGTGATGACTTGGGTGAGGCAGGTTGTACTCCTGCAGTTCATGGAGGTTGTCAGTGAAGCAGAAATCCATTTGCAATCCATGAACAGGAGGATGCCCCAATAAGTCTGTGACCCCATGGGAAGCCTGCACTGGAGCAGACTCCTGGCAGGACCTTAGACCTGTAGAGAGAGGAGCACATGCTGGTGCCGGTTTGCTGGCTGGACTTGTGACCCCATGGGGGACCTATGCTGGAGCAGCCTGTTCCTGAGGGACTGCACCCTGTGGAAAGGGACACATGCTGGAACAGTTCATGGAGAACTGTGGCCCGTGGAAAGGACTTCTATTGTATATCTTCACAGAGGACTGTCTCCTGTGGATGGTACCTCATGCTGGAGCAGGGAAAGGGTGTGAGGAGTTCTTCCCTCGAGGAGGAGGGAGCAGCAGAGACAATGTGTGAAAAACTGACCACAGTCCCCATTCCTGGTCCCTGTGCCACTGGTGGGGACAAAGTACAGAATCTGTGAGTAAAGTAAAGCCTGAGAAGAAGGTGGAAGAAGGAGAAGAAGAGGTGGAGAGAAGCTGTTTTTAAGATTTGATTTTATTTGTCATTATCCTACTCTGATTCAATCGGTAATAAATTTAGTTTCCCCAAGTCAAGTCCATTTTGGCCATCATGGTAATTGGTGAATGATCTCTCCCTGACCTTATCTTGACCTATGAGTCTTTTGTTATATTTTCTCTTCCCTGTCCAGCTGAAAAAGGGAGAGAGAGAGTGGATGCATGCCACACAGCCAGGGTCAACACACCATGAATATGAAGAGATTTGTGGCTGGAGAGCAGAGAGCATAATCACACCTGCTTTGTGTGCATGGTCTAAACTGCTCGCTAAAGCACAAGCCTCCCACAGAAGTTAAAAGTGGCACCAAATCAAATACATGCTGCAAATCTCACCTGATGAGAGAAGCCAGGCCCACAGCACACACCACCAGGGCAAATATCAGCATTACTCCCAACGTAATGACTTCAGGTTCAATCCCTGTGCAAAGGGCGGAAAGAATCAGTGGATGAGAAAATAATTCTGATTTAGGCAATAATATTCAAAACATCAATATCAGACCATTAGATTACAAAGTCAAATATTCAGCCAGGAGAATGCCAAAAGACAATTTTTAAGCAATTTTAATTTGTAAATACACAAATACTTACTGACTTTGTTTACACAAGACTGCAACTACTCTAATTATTTATTTCCATGTACTTTTTTTTACCTAAACTAGACTTAGAGCCCTGGATCAGTGGAAACACAGTTTTGCTTCAAGTAAATAAAGACTAGACTCACAGGAAAGTATTAGGTTTTAGAGGAAGCTTCTGCAAAGTTCATAACTTTTTAACATTTGACCCTTTTCTCTCCAGGAACCGAAATGCTGAAAACTCTTTATCATGTGGTACCAAACTGATGACCACTGTGAGTCACTGGCCCATCTGGGATTTTTCATTCTCTGCTACATATTTCTAATGCTGAAAAGAGCAGAAGAGGAGGAGCAGAATGTTGATGTTCTCCTCAACAGTCCATGGACAAAAGTACTACAGACAGGTACTTTGCTCATGAGTGTATTTACTTGAGAGCTAATGGAAGCCAACATGAGTGAATGAGCTGAATTGCTGTATCTATCTCTTCTGTCTTCTGATTTTTCTATTTTATTTTGTTTGTATTCAGAGACCTATAAATGCAAATAATCATGGAGAAATTTGGGTTAATAAAAGGCTCATGACTCTATGCCACACACCTCAATCACAGGCCTCTCTGCAAGCACTGAAACCTAGACCTTCCTAGTGAAAAGTGAAGACATTTTTGAAAATTGGTGTCCATTTCAGAAAAAACAGAGTATTTTCCCGCTTCAGCCTAGATCCCCAGTCCCTGATTGTCCTCACACATATGCAGCAACAGGTTTCCCACAGCTATGGCTGCCCCATCCTTGGAAGCGTTCAAGATCAGGCTCAGTGGGGCTATGTGCAACCTGGTCTAGTGTGGGGTTGGACTAAATGATGTTGAAATGTCCCTTTCCAGTCCAAACTATTTTATGATTCTAGGGAAAGATGTTCCTATCCATAAAAGGGGGAGTTGGACGTGGTAATATTTGAAGATCTTTTCCAACACAAACCATTCTGTGATTCTATGATGTCATGATTCTATAAAAGAAGTCACTCTGCTTTCATGCTCCAGCCTGGATCTAGCCCTGTATACCTTCACCTGGGAAGAAATCAAAGTCAGATTGTTACGATCCCCATAAGAGCAGGTGACAGCAACCCAGTGTTCATTCCAGGCAGGCAAAGGAGCTGCCAAAATGTTCCCCTCCAGATGGAATGGTGTTAAAAAGGTTTGCAAAGGTAGAACACATCGCATTAAGATCTTGCACAACGCTACATGCATGGAGAAGGAAGGATTGGATCCACTTAGAGGCAGATTTGCAGGAAACCCAGTGCTCTGGGCTGTGGTCACCTGCTAAGAAGATTATTTTTAAATGAGCTTTGAATAGCCCAGCCACAGTGCTATGAGTTGTTTTTCTTACTGGACAAAGCAGAGAATGCCTCCTGGACAAACCAGTGATGAAGGTATGAAAGTCCCATCTCACATCCCTGCATGGCCTTCTAACATTTTCAGAGAGAATCTGTAACCCAGACCACAACGTGGTAGGAATAATTTGAAGTTTGGTAATGTCCTCTTCTGTGTTTAATCAGGGGTTTTTACTGGTCCTGTCTCCTAAACTTCCTTAGGTAGCCTCCAGAGACCACTGTCTGAACAAATCTGCTTTGAAAAAGATCTCAAGAGAAATTCTTTTGTTTGTTATCATTGCCTAGAATAACCTACAAGTGCTTGACCATTCTTTAGAGGACCCTAATGGAATATGGCACTTGAAAGGTAGTGCAAAAAACCAAGGAATACCAAAGGGTCTCTTCCTGATCATGTCCCTTGTTGAAGTAGGGGAACAGTGTCACATCATTACAGATGTGAAGGCACTTAATCAGCTAAAAAACATGCAAAGTCCATCCAATTTCACTCACTGAAACACTATTTGATAAGATGAGAATGAGAGTTAGTCAGAGCACAACATTCACTGCAGTGAACCATACACTTAAAGGACAAGAAAAGTAAAAAATAAACAGCCAGATAAACAAACCCTGAGGAATGGGAGATAGCAAAGGCACTATCGAAGACCAGAGAGTTCATGTCAGTGATGAATGTTGCATTGCAGGGACCATGCAAAGCCCCGAGGAAGCTCAAACAGATCTTTATAACTAATTAGAAGTGAAAGCAAGGTTATCGTGAGCTCATGGGAAACAGCAAACTTACAGCATACTTGAGGGGACTTGTGGGATTGTGTTAAAGTCATTAGAGAATGTTTTAAGGGTACCGTGGGACTATGTGAAACTTCTTATGGGATCTTTAGATGGAGGGGCAAAAATGGGGAAAGGGACAGATAGGGTGTCGGGGTTGGTCAAGTATGGGAGAGGATGGGGATGCTAAGCTTTTTCCAGCCATACCTTGCACCTGATCATCACAATCTGTCCTACCTTTTTCTTAACCTCTATTCCTCCTTTTTTTTTTTTTTTTTCGGGTGAGTGTGCTGTCTGAGTGCTTGTGATATTTACAGACTTCACATCAATATAATGAACAGGTAAGATGAGACCTGGAGCCTGCAACTCATGAAAGACCATGTCTGGAGTCACCTCCTGCAGAAACCAAAGGGTTTGAGAGCTGGCTATGAGGGAATTTAGGTTGGGATACATGCTTCAGGAACTGGAGCTGTGAGATCTGGTAGCAAGCTTGGAGCCTAATTATGTTGTGCATGAGAACAGAATGGGGCCATTCATGTTGTCCATGTCCCATCAACCCTGGTTGTGGGTGTGTAGAGCATGTAGACACATGGCTCTTCTCTGTATGTTACTCTATCAGTGACTGGTTGTCTCTGCAGTGTGTGTGTGTTTGTGTGTCCACATACTGGGAACAGCAACACCGTCCCACACCTGGTGAACCTGGAGTTAGGAACCACAGCAGCCTGACAACTTCACATCCAATCCCCCTCTAACCCTAACTTCAAAAGCCAGAGTGAGGCCTGGATTTAATTCTAGTCATAAAATTCGGTCTCTGAAATACTAGTAATAGTAATAAAAGACTATTTCACTGAAAAATGCCTAAAGCTTTATGTTTCTGTAAAGGTATGAACATGAAATCTGATCTCTCTAAAAATCAGTGGGATTTTTTCATAGACTGGAAAGGGATGTTAAATTGCTACATCTTTCCTAGTGGCAGTGCAAAATTAGATCTATGATAGTATTATATTTATCTCTTCTATAGCTTGCCAGCTGCTGTAAGATCAGTGTATCTCCAATTTTCATAGAGTGACACTGATTTAAACCAGCTATGACTGAGCTAAGGGGAATGTTTTTCTCAGTTACTGAATGAAGTATTCTGTAGATGTGGTTACTCTTATCTGATTCGATCATATCCTGGAGCAGTAGGTGTAAATGCTTAGCGTTATAAGTAAATATGCCGAGAGGAGGCTAAGTATCCTACCCTGAGATTCTGGTTTCCCTGTGACTTTAAAACTGCACCACAGTTGCCTCAAGTTAAAAACAATAAGTAAAAACAGTGCCCAATCTTACCAACCCAGGAAGCAGAAGAGTTATCTTGGCCCCCAAGCCTTTGATTACTACCTCTGTCGTCCTTAATGCCACAACTGGATAAAAAAGCTGGGTTAACAGGAGAGATGGTGAGAGCATCTGCTGTTGAGCAGCTCTCTAAGGCTGTATTCCAGGCCTCATCCCTCAGAAGGACAGGGACATAGTGCTGGGTGAAGCCTCTGGTATACAATGGTTATTATTAAAATAGGTAGATGTTGACTTTTAGACCCAGAAAAGCCCTTCAAGCACATCACAACAGTGGAGTGGCAACAACCTTATTGGTCCAGGGAAGTGATGGGAATAATGTCCCTGGAATTGCTCAAAAAATGTGTAGATGTGGTGTTTAGGGATATGGTAGTGGTGGGCTTGGAAGTGATAGGTTAATGGTTGGACTTAATGCTCTTAGAGGTCTTTTCCAACTCTAGTGACTTCATGATTCTATCACTTAACAAGCAATGAAAGAGTCTTGTGGATCAGTGTTGGTATCTCTGCATATGATTCCCATTACAAACAGGACAATGATTGGGTATCTTTACATTAATTTCTTTAATTTAGACTTTTCTTGTCGGGGAATTCTCATTTAAAGGAGTAACCACCTGGAGTGAGAGAAAAGATGAAAGAAATGAGACTCAATGACATTTGACCCTTTTGTTGTCTTTTTCCCCCTTACCTTCAGTGCAGAGAATATCTGGATCAAACCAACAGCTGGAGTCTGGCTTGGGTGGAACTTCATTGGGAAAGTGGATGGCCTGGCCTAGGGACAGCACGGAGTCTGAAGATATGTCCAGCATGTGGGTTGGGAAAAGCTGGTTCCCATGACCATCTGTGTCCAGGATTACATAGTTGCTGAGCCCCTTCCCACAGCTGTCTGTCTCTATCTGGTGAGTAAATCCAGGGAAACTGAAGTTTTTTGTGTGCTCAGCTATGTTAGCTCCAGAGGTTCTGACTCCTTTCCTCCGAGCACTGTCTATAGCCATTGCCATGAAGTAAATAGCATCATAGATTGTTCCAAAGAGTGGAGAAACCTAAAAATACATGGAGAAATTGAGGTCAGGCTACACTGTTCCTAACCTCCAGTTTGAGGTTTGTGGCAAAATATTGTCCCACTGGCTAAGCTGTAAACTCAAGTACTGAGACAGCTGAGCATTAAGGCTCAGAGAGTAAAGGGTTTGAAGAATCTTAGGTCGAAGGTAGCTTTGGATAGACTCAATATATGCATGACTTTGAATACCTGTTTTTTCTTATGGTTGCTTCCCAAAATACAATTTCAAAATATTTTTAAAACCGTGCAAAATTGCTTTAGGATGGCAAAAGTCAAGACTCTGAGCCTGATGTTCACCTGAAATTTATCAAAACCTGCCTCAAAACACTACACTAAAACATCTGCTACAAATAGAAGTTCAAAGTCACAGACTCGCCTCCCTCCCTACCAAGACAGGAAAAGTGTCATTGCCCAAACAATTGCTCTTCTCTGTCAGAGCATTACTTATTCCTAAGATGTTAAAATCCCAGAGCAGAGCCATGGCAAACTTGTTTTGTTGTCTAACAGAGCCTTTTCTCTTTGCATTGCTCCCTTCCATGACAGACTTGATTTAGGAACCTTTAATAAAAATGGTGATGTTTGCAATCATGTCGGCATTCACAGCTGGTAGGTGAAGAGAGATTATAGGCAGATACCTGTGAAAAAAATGAGGAGTGCTGTTGGGAGCCACAGAATTCGATATTTGTGGTGGGATTCATTACTCAGATATAGATATCTACAGTGAAGAACCCGACACTATATAGTTAACCAAGGTTCTCATTATAGTGAAGGGAAAGAAATGAATGCTTTCAAGGCATGATTCATCTCCTTCTGAAGTAGGCATCCATAAATCATGCCTTAAAAGTACTTGTAATTTTTTCAAAGGTCATAAGGAGACTTGAAGATCAGCTCAGTGGAATCCTGCATCTCTTCACCAGTACGAGATTCCCCAGTTCTACTTGTAAATGTCTACAAGGTAACAACTGATTTAGTTTTTAATAGGCTACTGGTGACATTTAGATAATTGTGATGACAATAACTTTGACTATAGTGCTAAGAAGAACAAGGCAGCAAGAATCTTACACATTTCTCTCTAGAAACATCCAGTATTTCATTAGTCTGTCTCATCCCCTCACGTTTTCAGTCATATGGACATCTTATTTTGGTTCCTTACAAACTCCATGGATTTTATCTAGTTTCGGAGACACCTTTTCAACTTGAGTCTACTGCAGCTAGCACACAGCAAAACAAATCTGAAAGGCTCAGAGACAACCCCTTTCTCTTGAATTCCCAGCACGGTCCTGCAAATTGAACCAACTGAGTTATATTGCCAGACATCCAGGAGAAATTATCTTTCCAAATGAATGTAAACCATACTCAAATTTCACCATGTTTTTCTCAAAATGAAAGCATGCGGTCTCGGTTGACTCTCCCCTGTACTTTCTCTATAGCTATTGCTTGTCTCATGTCTCTTGTTGACACGCCCCAGAAAAGCCTAAGAGAGAGAATATTTACCTGTGTGGCTTCCAAATCCCTCATTATTTCACCACTTTCTTTAGCTTCCCTGAACGCATCATAGAAAGTCCTTTCTCCAGACTCCAATGTGATAGTCAGCACAGCATCATATGCTTCCCGAAGCCTAGCTGTCATTATCAAAGATATTGAATGAGTTGTTTTGATAAGGAAGACTGTACAGTAAAGTGTCATATGGAACAAAGATGTATCTTCCATCTGCTAGTCCCATTTCCAGAGCTTTTGTGAGTAAGGTGGCCTGTTCCTCCCCTCCGATGAGAACAGAATGCATGCACAGGACTATAACTGGAACACAAGGACAGCAAAGAGTGTTGTTAATCTATTTGGGGTTTTCAACACAAAATAGCACCCTCCCCTCCCAATAAAAGAGCTGTCTGAACTACTCTATCACGTCAGATTCCTCTGTTACGTGCTGAGGAAGCTGAGAGCTACACCTATTTTGTTCAACCTCTGGAGGTCTGCAATACCTTGTAAAGAAGGCTGTGAGTAGTACATATTTCTGGAGCTGTAAAGAAGAAAGAATGGGGAGAAATTTTGACAGAAGTGAGGCAAGGGTAGTTGTGGTCATTGTTGTTACTGACTGTGAGACCTGAGCTTTCCCTCTGTGTGCCCTGAGCTGACAGACACCTCACCATTGTAAGCAATGCCCAACCTCCACACATTCGCCCTGTCACCAAATATACAGATTTTAGCTTGGACACTGTATTGTGTTTAAACATCTGGTTCATGCCTGACTGTCCCAAAGTCTGGGTCTTCGACTGCAAAATGTCATGGGCCCAATCCTCATGTCTAGGGGGGGAGATCTGAAATACAGGTGTACCTGTTTAACAGGCTTTCCTGGATGCTCACTTGCCCTTCAGGAAAGGCACTACTCCTGATACTTGATTCAAGACTCAGTTAATGAGAGAAGAAAAATAGGGCAATGGTGTGAAGCAAAGTTGCAAAGGAGACATGATGGCTGCTAAACGAGGAGAGAGCAGGATCCCTAGGGTGGCTGTGGTCTCTCCTTAGGGGAAAAAGGATCCTTGGAAAAGTAGAAGCTAAAATGAACAAGACTCTTTTCAGGTTTCTGAATTACAGCAAAGAAACTGTTACTTCTTGGCAGTGATTCATGCCATACTATAGCAGCTGGTCAAATGAACGATATTTGAAAAGGGACTGGTTCTCTCCATTTGTTATGAAAGGAGCCCATCATCTGTGACTCACATGGAGAGCTGTGATGGTAAGGACATGAACTCACCCGAGGTGGATTTGGTCTCAAGCATAGATTTAAGCACTGATAGAACTTGGGTTTAGACAGCATTTTCTACCCTTGTTATTCTTTGGTGTAAAATCCAAAGTAAGCTAAAATGTCTCCTCACTGGAGTCCTGGTGATGACTGCAGGGGCATACATCCAGGATCAGAGCTCCATCACAGACTTTCCAACAAGGCTCTGAACCAGAAAAACATGTCTTTTCCCCCCATCCATTTTCTCAAGAGAAAGAAGATCATTCTTTACTACAAGCTGTGTGTCAAAAAGAACCCTTCCACTGCTTTAGTAGTCTGTGGTGTGTGACATTGGACAGGCAGCAAGGACACAGCATCAAAGGGTGAGATTTTTGACAATCCAGAATACAAATCATTATTAATATAAAACAATCCTATAAACTACTCTTTACACAAGTCAAGCACAGACAACCATCTACTAAATATAATTTTTTTTCAGATAAGCTGGAACTGATCTTTTGTGTTGTAGGAGACTATTTTGCTCTATCTTCATCAAACACAAAATATCCAACACTCTTGTATGTGAAGACCTGGCTCCATTAAGGTCAGAGGTAAAGTTCTTCTTGATTTAAACCACTTCAAATGTTCATTCTCTAAACTATAACAATGCAGTACTACCCTAGAGAAAATAATAAGAATTTAAAAAAAAAAAAATCAAAAAGTGGAATGAAACTTAAAACACTTACTTTTAATGTCATTAACTTCTTTAATCTTGTTCCAGGTGTCTTCAATGCCTTTTTCTCCTTTACGCACATATGTAACAATGCCTACAGGTAGCCCCTGGCTCCTGAGCGAAGTTGCTAACTCGTTGGCTGTGTACATCCAAATATCCTCTCTGGATGCAATGATGCCAACACGGGCCCAGTTAAAATATTTCATTACTGTAAACAAAACTTGGGTTGGAGAGGGCAGAGTCCTTGCAAATGCAGGGTGGTGAATGGTGGAATCCAGTTTATAATTGATGCACATCCATGAGAAGATAGCTTTATTCCAGTTTTCCCCTAAGTGTGTAGCCACCTCACAGAAGCCAGGGTTCAGAGGGCCTATGAAAGCTGATGAAAGCTTTTCAAAGTCAATGAATCTAACCAGAGCTCTTGGTGCCTCACATTCTTCTTGCAGGATCACATAATCCAGCCTGTGGCCAAGATCTAGTGAAGGATCTTGGCTTATTCGTCCCACAGCTAACCTGGCAGCCACGTGGGGAAAGGCTTTGGAAAAGAGGGGGTCACAGTTCCAGGGTCCGAGCAGTCCAATTTTAAAGACAGAACAATGTACTGGAGAGCAAAGTAGGATTATTCCAAACAGCAGCCACCAGAGAGCCCAGAAAAATGTCTTGAATGAATTTCCAGTGTTGAGGTGATGCAAGCTAATGTGCCTCGACAGCACCCAGAAGAAGCTGTTAGGGCACCGTAGGAGAAATGACATTGTTTTACAGGTGGGTAGATCTGCACCAAATTCTTGAGGAAGTCAAGCAGTGCATTACCAGTTGCTGGAAGGAAAGTAAATTACGTTTGCCTTTCAATGTACGTATTTGTTCACTGCACGTAGGTACAGCTGAGTCAGCAAAAATTGCACAACGGTTCTCAAGGCGCAAGTCTGTGAGAAGCCAAAACCATGCACAGACGTGGACATCCACCACACAACCCACCTCATCACGCAGAAAAGTGTCCAACCAGTGTCAGACGGGCTGTAACCCTTAAATGCACACTTGTGTAAACATTTTAATATGCTTTGCAATATATTCTGACACCAGGCAGTGAAGAATGAGTCTGCTTTGTTTGCAGCAGTAAGCAGAACCTGTGGACACACTGTGGTTTTCGTTCTTAAGAAGGATAATTTCAAAATCACACAGACAAACACCCATATAAGAAAATAGAAAGGTGAAACACACTAAGCCATCAACTTTTGCCAAAACTCCACAGTGAGTTTTGAATATGAATTAGAGCTGGACATGAAAAAAATACACACACACACATACATAGACCTTATATTCATATACTTAGCGATATGTATGTATGTGCATTTGATTTTAAAACTTCCTGAAAAATTTTTCAAGGACAAGTCATAGCAAAGACTCTTAAACCTGGCAAAAACAAAAACAAAACAAAACAAACCCAAACAAAAATTAAAAAAGGTGGATAAACAGGTAATCAGAAAATGAGGGAAAAATAGGATTATTGTTTGAATTTGGATAAAGAACTACTATATAACTATCATTTTTAAAACTTTGTGTACCCTCTTGGCTTAAAATACTCTTGGTTGAATATGAGGAGCAATAGGGTTTTTTTTTTTGAATAACCATCTAACCCTTTGCAGCCAAGGCACAGAAATAGCAAAGCCACAACAGGCTCCCCGCTCTCTGCAGTGTTACCCCATGGCTTAAAAAACTTTGCTGATCCCAGAAAATTTGTACTCTAAAAATAGCAGGCCCCTTACATCAGCTTACCTGTTCAATACTGGAAAAGTACTTTTATCCTGGATCCTCAGCCACCGAGACACGTAACGCAGGGCACTGCAATGCAGTGTGTGCTGTAAATGCACTCACAAGTCCTCTAGCCTGATGGAGGGAGACCTCCAGAAGGAGTCACCCACTAGCAGAGCAGCTTCTCAGCAGTGGCTATCCTTGTATTTGGGTACCACCACAAGGATAGGTGATGCACAGTCAGCTTCCCCTGCTTTGGTACCCACCTCCATCAACTTCTTGGGTGCATGGGCCATTCCAGCTGGGTGGGTGCTCTGGGACCCTCTATGCCTTGTCAAAATCTTCCTAGGTCACTTTTGGTGAAGGCCATCCTTTTGCTGAGGGTTTCACAACTTGAAGATCTTGCAGAGGTCCAAGGTTGCCTCACACTGAACTGTTCTTAGTGCAGAGATGTACTCCTGTCTAACTTACTAATTGTAGGGATGGCATCTTAAAGCTCTGCCCTTGGATTAGTGGGATTTAGCTCCTGGGATCTGCCCCTGCAGAACAGCTCCTTAAGTCTCTGCAGCTCAGGAGAGATGGCTCCTCTTCTGTCTTATAAGCAGGTGAGAAAAGAGCTATTTTAGGTTGGGGTAAGTGGAATATTTGATTTTTGGCTTTACCATTCTGCTGATGTGTTATGTTCTCCTTTTTACTGTTTTTTCCTTTATACTCATCATGACACACACTTGCATCAAAGACTTCTTGGGGGTTGGACTGGGTGACCTTTAAAGGTTTCTTCCAAGACAAACTAATCTACAATTCTATGATTCTTGGTTATTTTTCTGTATACCTCCCTAGGGCTGAGCCCTCCAATGAACCACTCCCAGACACCCTGGAAATAAAACTTTCATCCTGCAAAGACCTCAGATGTCTCCGTGCCTGTCCTAGCTAGGAAGCCCCTTGCAATAATTTAGCTGGGGTCAGAGGACCAGGACCTGTGGTCTAAAGGGAATAATTTGTGGTTCAAACTTCTAGCAGTGTTAACTTCAAGTAAATCATATAAATTATGCACATGTAATTGATATGTGTTCAAGAGCAGTTCATAACTAATGAATGAGGGAAGCCCCAAAGACTTCCGATGTAATGGGGGGAGCAGCTCTCTCCATTAATTTCATCCATTTCCTCCCATTCATTCATTTCCTTGCACAGGCCCAGATCCAGGAAGGTTCTTGGTCATGTGCTTCATTGAGGACTGTTACAGCTCAAGATAGTCATCAAGGACTATCGAATAGTTTCAGCTTTGGAAAGTGCCTAAAACACACTCTAATGTCAAGCCTAAACTCAGAACACTGCCTTGTAAGTGACTAGTGCATTATGGTTTGTCACCAGAAATAAAGTTTTTTCAGTTCGGAGTCTTTTTCTTATTATTTGAACCTGAAAGTTTGATTTATCCATATACAGATATATCTCTATCCATATATCATATGCTCACTGCTATCTCATTTCTTTCACTATAAACACTGGGCCTGCACAGCTTAATTCCACTTCAGGTCAGCAGTCACGAGGTCTCCTGGAGTAGCTGCAGAACTCCAGTGACTCACTTCTAGGGCATCTTTATAGCATTAAAACCTGATCTGTTGAAAAATATGTGGTCAGGCACACAGAAATGGAAGATTAGAAATTAACCTTGGTGGTCTATTCATTAATGTAATTACTCTGCCCTTAAGAAATTCATACATTTCCATAGCCAAGTGGGTGAAAAACTTTATCAGTGTCTCCCTTTTCTTTTGCTTCTTGTTTGTCAGTTAATGAAACGACCCTCCTGCCATCAAGTAGTAACTGTGGCAGTAATCCATCCTCCATAGGAAAAGCTGGTTATCCCAAATGGCTCTGCCACATCTATCCTTTGCTCAGGGTATCCAGGACAGGAGATAACACTCCTCCTTCTGCAAAACAAGTGCTGGCAGCCCTCTCAGGTCCTGTAACTGCCTGATTGGTTTCACTAATAAAAGAGCAAGGTAAATCAAGCAGCTGAGACCAAAAAAAAGCCCAAAAAGTTATTTAGGCTATCCTTCTGGTTGAAATTAACATTGAAGTTTAAAACCTTGCCTGTGTCTGCAAACCTTGCTTTTCCCCCCACATCTAACAGCTCATCATTACTGCAACAACCACACTACAGAGGAAAGGTTTCCTTGCAATGCTGCATTACTTGCATACCATCAGATTAATTCCCAGCACTCCTCATACTCACTGAAGTGAATAACATAATATTTCCCATGAGACAGTGAAGCCACAGCTGTATCGCTTTGCTTTTAATTTTTAGAGCAGGAGAGGGTGCTCTAATCTCTCAGACTGACCTCCCACATCAGCCTGGCCAAGCAGCCTCCCAGGAGCTGCTGCTCCTCCAAGCTCTTTCAGCATCCTGGAAATAAAATATGTTTTGTAATGAATTATACCAGAGGGTACCACTGAATAAAGCTGATTTATCTGGAAAACCTCAGCTGTCAGCAGAGAGAGACAGGGAAAAGGCTTGACTCTTGTTCTGCTCCCCCTGCAGAAAAGTCTCGTATCTCCACTGATTATAGAAAAAATTGAGAGAGAACAGCATGGCAACGCTCACATTAGCCTTTCTGCACGTCCTCTAAGCCTTAATTAAAAGCTCCAGCCTTGGAAGATCTACCAGGTTCTTTCGTCTATTATTCCAACTGTTAATTTTCCTCAACATTAAAAATAACCACTTAACGTCTAGTGTGTCTGGCTTCAGCTGCCTGCAACTGGTTCTCACTCTGCTTTTGCCATAGAAACAAAAATCAGAAAGCATAAAAAATATCACCTCCCTGTAGACTATTTGCACACCATAATTAGCTCACATCCTAGTCATACTCTGAGCAAAATAAATAAACAGCTCATTAAGACTTTTGCCATAGAGGATGTTTTCAGCATTCCATCTTTGCAATGCTCTTTCAACATTCATTTTTAATTTTCTTTCTTTTTGCTAAATTAAAACCAGTATCCATTAGTAAGCCTCACTCCTTAATGCTGAATATAGGGGTGGTGACATCTTTTATCACCTGTTTGATTTTTTTGGACTTTAATTCTATAGCTTGGATGAACACAGTTGCAGAACCACTGTTTTTAAGCCCTTCTCTGCTCTCCTTAGTGCAAACATCTGCCTTGAAAGTGTGGTGTGAATTCTTTGTTCCTAGCTTTATAAACCCATATGGTTTAGTGGGTGTTTCTAAAATATTTCCATTTAATGAGAGGTCCAGACTAATCTGCAAGTTCTATAAATAATGATTTTTCTATTTCTTCAAGGTAATGTGACAGAGGTTTTGAACTGCACTGTGGGGGAAAAATCACATCCCAGAGGCTCTACTGGAAAACACTACCAAAGAAGGGTCCCCATCTACAATTTTATGTCAAAATAGCAATTAATCTTCTTTTAAATTTTATTATGATGCAGACACATTCACTACGTAACACTAATTTTCTCTTCCAATATCACCTTTCAGCAGGATATCAACTTATAGGCATTATGAAAGACAGCATCACCACTTGACTTCACATGCCAGACCTGTGACTTGATCACAAAAATTATGTAAAGTCAGACAGACAAGATTTATTATCACTCCAGCCTCACTGCCTGGCATTAGTCAACCTTCATCCTTTCATTTTTTAGAAGTTCCTCTCTATTTTGTCCTTTCCATGACCTTGGTTTGCTTGATGTCAACCCAACCTGATCTCACTTTCTTGACTGCAGCACAGGAAGGATTTGATATCCCATGATTTTGGTGGTACTGGAATTTTTAGGAAGGAGTGTTCTGCTGTGTAATATTGTCCTGTTTTCAAATTGCAGTCAAGCATTTGGAACATCTTTTTCTCCAGATTATCTGGTTTGCATCAGACCAGCAACAGGCCATCCCTGAGGAGTCCTGTAGAGTCAAGTTGCAGTGAGTCCACTTCTTTCCCAAAATGGCTAGATTTATTTGATTTTCTTGGAAACCGATGTTGTAGCCTGTGACATCTGAGTCTCTAGCACTGGCATTAGTGAAATATATGATGTTGCAGGTAGTTTGGATAGTCAGTATTAGTGCTGGCAGGAAAACAGTCTCATAACACCAGATGAGATATTTATACATGTATTTATTTAGGCATCAAAACCTGAGTATTTAATTTGACAGCCTCATCTCCAGAAGCTCATTATACAGCAATATATAGAGAAACATTCCCCTTCTAGGAGATGTTTCCAAACCTCTTAGAATCCAGCTATGATTCAACCTAAGTGGCTACTGTTCATCCTTTTTCTTTTTTTTTTTTTCCCTACATGAGGCTTAGCAAGGCTGGACTTTAAACGAGCAAGTTAAAGCCAGGTACTGAAGGAGGTGAAAACTAAAAAAGCCCTTGCCCAACATGTTTAAATGCTTTTTTCTTCAAATATGCCAAATTCAAAAACACTTCAAACATGTCTGGATCAATGTCTGGAACAACCTTAGAAATTGCCAGGTGTCTTACCTGGGAATAAAGATATCAAGCAGGTCTGTCTCATAGGCAGGGAAGCTGAAAGCAGATGAGTGTTAGATATATGGTTGGGAAGACTGGCCAGCATAAAGAAGCCTCAAAACCAGCCACAGCAGCTCAGTGCTGTGATTTCACCCCAGCCAGCAACCAAGTACCAC